GCAGAGCACTGGGGCGGTCGAACGAGAGGGGGGGAGGACGCTGAAACTGTGAGTGCATGCGCCGTGGTGCGACGCCCGATACAGCCCGATGGAAACTCACCTGATGTAGCGTTCCTCCCGCCCTACGTCGGCTCTCGCCCACCTACGCGCTCCGTGAGATCCCCACCTCGCGCTCCTGCTGCGGCGCCGCTGGCGACGGTGGGCCGGCCTTGTAGACGTGCGCGCGTTCGTGACGCTACGTTGACGGCGATGATAGCGTGGCCGTACGCGGTGGAGTTGTCTCGTTCGGTGCGGGGAATGTGGTAGCGGCGAACGAACGACACGGCGTGTTTGCACGCCGTGGTGGTGAGGGACGCGAGCGCACGCACCGGTACGCTGTGAAGGGCGAGAGCGACGGCGGCTCACCTAGTATAGCGTCCCAACCCGCCCTACGTCCGCTCTAGCCCACATACGCGCTCCCTGAGACCCAACGACTGCCCTTCTCCTGCGTCGCCGCTGACCCATCGCCGTGTTTTGCATGCGTTCGCTCGCTCGCAAGCCGTTGTGATCGGGTGATGGCGTGCGTGCATGGCGGATGTGGGAGGACTGCAGAATCGATTTGAGCAGGGAGAATCCGGTGGTGGAGAATGGGGAGAATTCGGTGGTGGTGGACGGGGAGAATCCGGTGGTGAACGAAGGAGGCGGTGGTCGGTAGGAGGTGGGTGCTGTAGAGCGCGCGCGCGCGCGCTTGTTCGCTGAAGAGTCAATATCGTTCGAATGAAGGCTAATACTCACCTGGAAATTGAGAGCGGACTCCATGCTAGCCTCAGCAGAAGACAATGAGAGTAAATGGGAGGAGATAGACATGAATGAGGTCGAAGGAAGATGAGGGGAGGACGACGCGAGCACACTCACCGATCGGGGAGTCAGACGCGCTGTGCACATGAGGGGAAAGGGCACGTCGTGGAGGCTTGAAAACAGTACCGACGGACTCGAAATTTTGCAGTTGAGTCATTTAGATGTATTGCTAGGGGGCCCCAGCACCGACAAGCGAGCGGATTGCGATGCACGAGAGAAAAAAGCAAAAAGTCACCAGGACCATAACGGGCGCTTACCGACTGAGTTGAAAGGGCATCCCGTAGAAACACAAATAAATTGCGGAATTATGAGAATTTAATTAGCTGGGTGCTTGAGATGTAGAGCGAGGGGGCCCCAACAAAACCGAGGTGATAGAAGTAACTGAGGGTCTTAAAAAGACCAATATTGACCAAACCACCACCGTGAGGAAACCCGCCCGATTGGGAAGCCTACAGCGCCCGTTCCGCTCAACTGGGCATTGGGGCCCCTTTGGGGCCTCCGAGATTCGAAGCCTGGCTTTCAGATGAGGGTATTTTGAAGAGCATAGCACAAGAATTGAATGTGCTATGGAGGGCCCTCTGAGCATGGCCGTTAGGGGCTAACGGCTCCCGGTATATAGATAGCATAGCACACTGACTCACGATAAGTGCAGAGAGAAGCTGCGACTGTCCTGTGGCAGTTGCTGCCTCCACGTCATCCCACACGCACATTCAAGATATCGATGCTCCGAGGACATTACCCATTAAGCAGTTGGCAGCTGCATCACCGCTGACCGCTGCGCCGTCAATTGCCAGTAATCAGATTCAAGGTGTGTTTGGAAGGAACACTCGAGCCAATGTGAGACTAATCAATCATTGTTTCATAGCGAATTTGCTTTGGGCTGCAGTACCTGCGTCAATGTTCTATGGCACAGGTCAGAACAAATCAGCTTAGAGCGCATCATCTATGCTCAAATCCTCAGCTCTCAGTGGCTCCTCGAGACCTCCATCTGCATTATTCATCAGAATGTTCTCGTCAATGCCTGTATGAAGCAATAATTCAATATCCTTGTCTATCATGTCCCGGATCACGAAGTTAGTTGTGCAGCCAGCACATGTTCAGTTTGGCTGGTGTTCCTGCATGTAAGCCTGCAGCACACATAAAGCCTTTACCATATCCTGCTCGCCATAGGCTGAACTTAATCCGTTCAGATGATAATTGCGCTCTGCATTACGAGTGCAACTGCGATACACCAGGATGTTCAGTGATTCTGTGATGATGCGATCTTTTATGTAGTTCAGGCCTTCACCACCGTATTTGTCCTATCCATTTACATTAGAGTTATGCACTCTTTCTCTGGTATATGACTAACCTTTGTGAACAGGTTGTTCAGCTCGACAACCCAGTCAACAGCACGGAATGCAAATGGTTTGCTGGTAGGATTCACCAAGATATTCATCCTGATAGCACGTCTGATATACGCATATAAGCTTGTACACAGAATGTAAGGACCTCGACATGCTAACCTCAGGCGGTCGGGATATACAAAATGCAGGTCAGTCATGAATTTCATCATCTGATTAGCATACTTATGTTTGCCGGTAGCCTTAAATAATGCGATCCAAATCAGAAGTAAGGTCTCCACTCATCCGATGTCACCTGCGTTCATTGCATAGCTAATCTCTTCATATAGCAGAAGGTATTCATGCATTAAAAGCACATTCTCTCATTGTTGATCACGAGCATGGGATGGTTGCCGCCGTGTGATGTAGATTGCATGACCTTCGCTGTGAACATAGTGCCGTGCAAGATCATCAGCAATGCAGCACAGGTCTTCTATTGATGGATCAGAATCAGTGAGATCCTCCAGGGTTTTCCAATCTGCATTCCGTTTCACAGCCTCAATGTGCCAAGTGTCAAGGTGCAATGCTATACCTGCATGATTGATCACGTCATGCATCTGATGAAATTTTGGACTCGAGCCTATCTTCCCTGTCTCCTTTGGATGCAGGACATCAATGTAATGCATCAAGCTATTGTCATCATGACGTGAGCTGGGTGGTTGAATGAGGAGCCTCCAGATTGCGTCTGCACAGACCATCTTCAAATGAAAGAGTCCCGGAACAAAGATAACGAATTGATAATGTCGCCAAGGTGTCTTCTCGATGCTTCGAACCTTGAGAATGGACTGAATCCTTTCACAGGTGCTCAAGTCACCATGGACCAAAGCAACATATTCAGAAATGTCGACTAGTGTGGAATTTGGCTGCCCATGTGTTATCTGTTCAGCAGGATCTCCTACGCCTCCCTGTGAGAGTAAGTTTGAGATTGCCTCAATGTTCCCATCAACACGAGATTGATTAATATCCATAGCTCATGTCGGATGATGCCAAAGCTTTGTGACAGGTATCACATCAATATCCTCTGCTTTATCGATTGTAGGGATGAGCTTTCGGAGCTTCACTGGCCCATGATGGATAAGGTCATGTAAGAACTTCCATGAATTGAATCTGCCTCACCGTGTAAGACCTGATGGATGTGTGCTCTCCGAATGCAATGTAAGAAGATCATTGAAGCTGTGGTGTGAAAGCAATGTGATGGATAATGTAGGATTCAATGGAGACTTTTCTCAGAGCTCTCGTCAGCAGCGTAGGTCCTCCTTTGTCACACCATGGTTAAGAAAAAGTATGTCATCAGAAGTTAAGTGCAGCAGAGTCTCGGATGATTTATCAACTTTTGGTGTCATTGTAGGAAGGTTGATGTTGAAATTGTCATATCCGTATGCAGCTACTAATGATTGCCCCAACTCGCGAATCGCTTTCGCACTTTGTCGGGATAGAGATTGGATGGCAGTCTCAATAGTGTATGGAGAAATTGAAATTCCCATGTGAGCAAGGGCCTTGATGACCTTGTCAGGAGTGTTGCACGAATGGAGAAATATTCCATTGACTGCTGCGAGCGCATTACATTTCTGGCTGAGTGAATGCATGATGATTGAGATTATAACAACCACTTTCTGTGTACTGGTAAGCAAAAGCTGTTCAACGTAGGGTGCAAAGCCTCACAATCTGCCGCAATGCATTTCGACGCTCTCGCACAATCCACATCCTCTTGGTGTCCTCTTCCTTTTCCTCGACTTCAGGTATACTGTCACCAAGTGCTGCCCAATAGTCCAACTCCTCTGCATCTAAATCTTCTGGGCTTGCATCATTCTGGCTTGTCTGTTTCTTGGCACCCGAGATGAGATAACTTATCAAATCCCACAGATCTGGGGCAAGTGTACGTATTTTAGCTGCCATGTCTTCAATCTGAAAATCCTGGATTTGCTGGGCAGTAGTATGGAGTGCACTAAAATGCCAGCCATTCTCTGTAGCAACAAGTTGTTGGGCTAACTCAAGATAATGCTGCTTCATAACATTATGAGCCCACTGTTGTACTTCGAGTGATGTTTGATTGTGCCGCAAAAGAGTAGTGAGGATTTGTGGGAGATTCACAGCGAAATCTTCAAGGAATGGATCTGGGCTTGAGTCATGGCTTTGCCCACAAAGCAAAGCAATCAGAAAATCAGACAAAGAGATGTGATGTCATTCGAAGACTTCAAGAATATCCCGGAGTGTAGTCGCAGTGATCATTATGCCATTACAAAGAAATGACGCCCCTCAAAAAATAAGGTGATCTGCTACTACAGATTATTATTCAGGCATGCCTTTTCGAGACAACTCATGCCCACGCTCCGTTGTTTGCAGGTGTTTTCTGCCAGCTGCTGTAGGGAGTTGGGGGGCCAATAAGATTGTGGAGTTTGAAACCGGTCAGAGTACGAAAATTGGCTGAAATGTGGCTGAGGTGGCTGATAGTAAGAATCATGATGTACCACCTCTCACACGAGCCCTTCTCAAACTCGCGGAGGTGGATGGGGAGGAGCCTGCAGATGTCGGCGCTTTACGGTGCTTTACGGCGCGCCGTTACAAGAACTCAGCCCTTCCCGAAAAGGCAGCTCAAGACGCGCGCTAACGAACTGGAGCGTCTCGCCGAGTCACCTGTTGTGGCACAACATAGTTCATCCCCGCCATGACTACTCAGCCTCCGACGCCTGAAGAGTTGATATGTGTTCTCCACTTATACGCTGGCTTTAACCAGTCAGCGTATGAAGCTTCCGTCTCCGAACTCCGTCGCATTAGCCCAGAACCGAAAGACAAGGCCGGGAAACGCGAGCGACAGATTGCAGATGCTATTGCTGCTGTAATAACGCGGCGCGAGAAAGAAGTTTCAGCTGTCACTTGGACGGCGAGTAGCCGCAATATCACTATCCACGTCGCACAGAACGGCGCCGTGGATTCGAGCGTTGTGGACCATCTCAACTTGATCTGGACAAAGTTGCAGGCGATCAGCCGATATGGACCTCAGACCTCCGACGAAGCTCTTCGGAAAACTCCCGATGAGGTGTTGGATGCGGACCTCATGAACTTGTGGAGGCAGACACTCTACCATGTCTACACTACTTGTTTTCCCAAGCTGAAAGCTCGCATCATGAAGCGCCGACGAGAAGCGCAGGAGTTCATTACTACCATGAACGATGCGATAGCATCGGATGCCCGATTACCCGACTCGGACATTCCATTGGGCAACAAAATCATTTTGCGCGGGCTGTTGGCTTGCGTGCAACGAATATACGAACTTATCGGTTTGCCTGCGTCCGAGGCCGCGCCTAAGATAGTCGACGTTCTTGCGGACGTGCGACGTGACTGGGCACGAGCGACGGAGGAGAATGGGCTTCCTATGATGAATTGGCAAGCAATTTTTGAGCACCGGCAGCAAGGTGAGTACCGCGGCGACTGTTCTAGTGATAGCTAACGCTGACTACACTGACAGAGAGAAATGTGACGTCAAATTCAAAAATATTCGACTTTCGACGCTTCATGGAGAAGGTCTACTCTCTCCACACCCATATTCACACTCTTTTACGTGCCGCGACATCTCCTCGCAGAAAGGTTATGTTCCATGCAGAACTTGATGTGGTACTAGTGCAACCCTACGCTGCCCTTTCCCGTCCTTTTTCATTTTCGGAAGAAGACATCGGCTCTTTCATTGAAAGTCTAAGTGAATCCGAGACGCCGCATGAGGAAGAGGAGGAATCAAAGTCAGAGGAACAGGAAACACGTCCATTCACCTCGCGAGAGCGTCTCCTAGCCCAGTTAGGCGAGTCATACTCCAAAACATCGCAAGTCGTGGACCTCTCTCGCCAGATCCCTCACTGTGAATGCACCCTGCTTGTATATCACACAACAACATCCACTGATCTCCCGCCACATCCCTACATCGGCGTCTCCAAGCTGTCTTGTTATCCGTGTTACCTCTTCTTTGAGGCGTATCGTCAAGCCGTACCAAAAGAAGTACGGTGGGAGCTCAAGAGGTCACACGGAAAGATCTATCCAGGTTGGGTAAGGCCAAAAGGGTTGTCCCAGGAGGCGAACGAGAAAGTTGAACAGCTCATGGTGAAGAAGTTGACGGAAAGGCTCCGTTTGAGTCTCGCAGAAGCAAAGAAAGCTCGCACACTTTCCGATAGCACGGATGCATCGGGCAATTCCGGGGCTTTTGCATCCTCTGGTAATAGCGACCCAGGTCAGTGGATTGGATTTAAGCCTGCGCTACGGCTGATTATCTCGAGCATGCAGTGTGGTCATCAGTTTGGAATGAAATCCATAAGACTTAAAGTGGTGGGTTTATGTCCACGTATCAGGTTCATGCGTCCTCTGAGGTACGCGAAAGTCATACAGCGATGGAGATTATTGTAATCGATTAGCATTAGAGCATTTGCGCCTGTCGTAACACGGCGACTTAACCGCACACACTGTAGAATTGCTCTTCACTGCAGATAATGGATATTCGACGGTGCGATATCGAATTGAGTACCGAGTGACAATGTTTTGTTGTGGAAAGATGGAATATACAACCGTTCAGGCATTGAAATGAATTTCAGTGCTTCACCCCATACTCTTCCCAGCCATATTCATCAAGCTTCTCCACTTTGGCCATCACCTCTCCTTCCATTTCTGTCAGGTAGCTGTCCATAGCACTTATTCGATGCGGAATGCCATTCCCTAAGATGCGAACCGCCAGCAGCCCAGCATTTGTTGCATTATTGATGGCGACCGTCGCAACAGGAACTCTCCTCTGCAAGTCGAAACACGCACGTAAGTGGGGATGCACGGAAGCGAGATGCAAAAGAAAATACACACGGGCATCTGCACAATGCTATGCAGTGAGTCAACGCCATCAAGCGAGGTGCCCTTAATCGGCACACCGATAACTGGAAGTGAAGTCATCGCCGCAACCATTCCGGGAAGGTGAGCCGCACCGCCAGTGCCAGCGATGATCGCCCTCGGCCCCCTCGCTGCTGCCGACCGTGCATATTCCACCAGACGGTCAGGTGTGCGGTGCGCAGAGACGATCGTCAATTCGTATGCCACGCTGAAATGGTCGAGGATATGTGCCGTGGCGAGCATTACCGGCAAATCTGAGTCGGAGCCCATGATAACGCCAATGAGCGGTCTACGGTGCGAATGACCCTTGTCCGGAGGCAGCGGCGAGTACATCTCGATCTCTTTCTCGTCGCTCAGTGACGGAAGCTGTTAAAGAAGGGGCCGCAGGCGTTCGTGGAGTTCAGCATCGCAGTCCGCGACGATGGTTGATGTGCCCCATCTTGCGACCTTTTTCGGCAGACTTTCTTACCGTAGAGGTGGAGACTTGCGCCAGGTATGGAGAGCGCATATTCTGCTATCGCCTTGATCCGTTCCATGCTGTCTGATGCGCCCAAGAGGTTGAGCATTACCGCCGAAGGAACCTTAAGAGCCGTGGAACCAAGTGGCAGGGACAATATCGCGCGGAGATGATTCTCGTATTGAGATGTATCGCAAGCCTCAATGGTATAGTGTCCCGAATTATGTGGCCGTGGAGCAATCTCGTTCAGGTATATCGTGCCTACAATGGAGACCTTAGCATAATACGGATAGAGAGCGCCGCTGTAATTACCGTCTGCCATGAGGAACATCTCAACGCCAAATACACCAGATCCGTGCAACGTCTTGACTGCCGCTTCCGCTACAGAACGAGCGCAAGAAGCAACGGCAGGGTCGCTTGAGCGCAGAGGAGCAAACACAAGATGGCATATGTTGTCCTTATGAACTGTCTCCACGGCTGGATAAGACACAACGTGGCCGGCCGCCGAGCGCACTACGATGACAGCGATCTCTTGAATGAAGGGCACCCATTTCTCCACATATAATGGCCGGTCACCGAGAGCGTGGATAGCGTCGTCGATCTGGGATACGTCGCGAACGACAAAGTTCCCCCTGCCATTGTACGCCAGTGTACGGCTCTTGAGCATCAGATTTCTTCGCCGCCGAGCGAACACACTCAACGGTAGAGTCAACTTGCATAAAGTCAGACACTGGACAACTATGCGCGGCCAGATGCTGCTTTTGAACGAACTTGTCTTGAATTGTTCGGATCGTGGACGGGCTGGGATGCACACCAAGAGGAAGCGAAGGCTGCACATCATCCAGAACAGAGATATCGACATGTTCGGTCTCCACGGTGAGGACGTCCACCTTTAACGCCAGCTCGCGGATCTTGGCCAAGTCGGTGAAGGATCCATCGACATGCACAATGCGAGGAAGCCTTTGAGCGACAATCTGCTTCGCAGGTGCATCTTCTCCGATGACAACATCAACGTTGAGGCGAGACGCCGCCTCTGCAAGCATACGGCCGCCTCCTAGAACGCGGGAGCATCAAATTCAGTTCTAGGACGTTGTCGAGAACTGGGGTACTAGAGAAACCGGTCACTGTCTGATATTCATTGCGAAAACAGGACAACCCACTCCCACCTAATATCTCGCTTAGATGGTTGTAAGCGCCCGATGCTCAATGCGGGCGCTTGGGCGACAGCCTTTCATTATGGTCGAGGCGACGTGCGGCTTCCTCATCATCAGACTCTTCATCAGATGAGCCTTCCCAACCATCTTCTCCGAGTGCCGTCTCCAGCCCAGGCGTCCGAGAACTCTTCATCCGGCTCACAATCCGAATCAGTCTCTTCTGATATAATACCATCTCATGCAGAAAATGCTCAAAGGACTCGCAGTCCGAAAGTAGCACCGACCAGACGACGATCACCTTCGCCTCCAGTGGCCTCTGCTCTCATTCCATCCTTCCTATTGGCATCTGAAAATCAGATGGAGAACGACCAAGTGCTGAAGGAACGCTTTCGCAAATTCTGGATATCAACGATTGCCGACTCGTTTAAAGAATTTCTTACGCCAAAGGAGCCTAACTTGAAGACACCTCGGCTTTCTCTGCTTATCGAGTCTCTGCCCTCTGGAGCAGACGTGTTCGCGTCCTCTACGCGAGAGATCGCGCCGGATAGGATGTCGTAATGACGAGCCAACAGACTCGCCCAAAAACGCGACGAACCTCAGAAATACAGCACGTTGGCATCGACAACGAACCGATAAATAAATCGAGCGTAAAGGAAGGATAAGAAGGCGCATTGGAGTGAGCAAGAAAATAAGGAGAAGCCTCTCCAGCGTCCCCGATGACGTGCGTCGATGGCGCGACCTAGTCGACGATCGGGTAGAGGGGGAAGACCTCCTTGATGCGCTGCTCGAGCCAGAAATACGGCGTCAGGTATGTAACGTCGGTCGAGTCAGACGCGCCGGTACCACCGTTCAGCAACCCCCAATAGAAAAACAGACGTCAGACAAGGATATCCGGAGCGTTCCCGCAAAGGTTGAGGGAATTGTCTCGTCTGCCCACGGGAGACTAGCTGCAGTCTCCACCTCTCTTCCACAGCCACCACTTCGTCCGGCGAGGGTACTTTCAGCGACCTTTCGTCTGCCGCCGAGCGCCTCAGTATGCCGGATCTCATCCCTACACTCCCGTTCGTGGTGACCGAGGCTCTGTCTAAGGTCTACCACAAGGGCTTGCCCTCCGAACCGCGCCTCATCGCTGCCACCAACCCCAGCCCCTTCGAAGCGCCAACTGGCTCCGAGGCCTACCCTGTCGTCAAAGAGCTTAGGGTGCTGGGTGACCACACCCTCGCTAATGCTTGGGACCACGGTTTAGCTGACCACCTTCGCCGTGGCCTGAACACGATGTGCGTGAACTGGACTAGTATCGAGGCGCTCCGCATCGTCGAAGTCGGAGAGTCGTCCGGCCCGGCCATCGTCTGGATTGGCGTCGAGTTCGGGGCGCTCAGCTTCGGGGAGGGCAGCGTCGTCGCCCTCCAATGCCGCACGTTCATCGACAGTCACAGTATCCACGATTACCACGTAGAAATCCGGGAGTCTCGCGTTATGAGACAGGCGGGCAACAGGTTCCTTGATCCCGTACCCGTGTCCGACCCGACGTTCACCGCTCGCAACCCATACACTGCGACCCTCAGCATCCCGATCTTCGCTAAGGGTAGGCCCTGGGCGAGGGCACAGGCGGCTTCTACCTCAGCGCCGGCGGTGACGACAAGAACATCTTCCTCGTCACTGCCCGGCACGTTGTCCTCCCCCTCGACAACAACGACAACAACGAATACGACCGCAAGAACGACAGCAAGGCGCGTGAAGACGTGGTCGTCCTCAGCACCTCCGGTTTCAACGAGAACCTCACCGTCATCGACGACGATATTGAGGGCCAAGAGTCCGCGATCACTGATGCCAAGGAGAGGATCGATTCGGTCAAGGGCTTGGACAACGTCAAGGAGCGTGAGGAGGCGGAGCACGATTTGCAGAAGGCGGAGGAGGGGCTGAAGGCACTCAGGGCTTTGCGCCACGAGATTGTCGCTCACTGGGAGGAGAAGGAGAACCGTATCTTCGGGGAGCTCACCTAGGCTCCTCCCATCGTCCTCTCCACCAAGCTCGGTCAGTATACCCTGGAGATCGCCGTCATCAAGATCGACGCGGGCATGCTCGACGCCAACAACTACTGCGGCAACACTATCTACCTAGGCAACAAGTACACGCGCCAACAATTCATGAAAAAGGTCTATCTGCACCCCACCAGTACGACTTCCTTCAAATTCCCCGCCAACCGTCTCGTGACGCTCCAAGACCAGGTCCCCGCGAGTGCCCTTGTCAAGCAGCCCATGCTCGATGCCAACGGCGATCCGTGCTTGGTCGTCTTCAAGAACGGCGTCAAGACTGGTACGACCATCGGCAAGGCGAACAACGTTTCGTCTTACACCCGCCACTATTTTGCCGGCCAGTATAAGGAGTCGAGGGAGTGGCCGGTCATTTCCACCGACAAGAACTCGGGCGTGTTCTCCGCCAAAGGAGACTGCGGGTCTTGCGTCGCCGATGCCTTCAGCCGCGTCGGCGGCATCCTCACCGGCGGTTCTGGCGCCCCCGACTCCTGCGACGCCCATCTCCTTCATCATGAAGGTCCCCCACAACAAGAAGCTCTTCAAGCACGTCTACCTCAACCTGGTCCTCGCCTAGGAGGGCACCCGAAATTCATTTACGACGAAATTTTAGAAATTTCTTTCCAGGGACGTCGGCGAGGTTGACTCGGTGATTGTGTTCGTCTCGTTTCTCTCCCCTTTGGGCGCTGACGGCCTTTTGTCATTGTCCAGCTTGTCGGCGATTGTGGGACCTTCCGTCGTGCAGGCCTGAGTCGGTCTCGTCGGGGTCGTGGCCGATGCGAGTATCGACTAGTCGTACTTGGGACAATCGCAACATGTATAGCTCTCTTGCCATCTGTCTTTGCACCGTACCGAATGATAACTTGTGATTTAACTTGTGCGCGATGAACTTAAGTGAGATATTCGCGAGAGTATCTAAGCGCTCGATCTCTCTCTTTGACCTTACGGGATTTTCACTGGTATTGCGTACCTCTCCTCTCCCTCGTCGCATCTCCGACCTCGCTTCCAACATGGTGTAGATGCATGCGCTGCCATTCATCATCTCCAAAGCCTGATTCGCCGGCGTGTTTGGTCAGCAAGCATCGTCACCACATCAGCCTCCTCGCATTTCGCTTTCGCCCTCGGCTCAGCTCAGGTCGACCTCCTCGTACTACCCGTCCTACTGAAAACTAGTATTTAATTCTCTTCAGGTGCGTATCCTCTGTATGCCATCCTCATGCCTTTTGCGCTATTCTTGGGCCTCTGGTCACGGCTTGCTTTCACATCCGGTACCTTAACCGATGATTAAATCTTGCCGTCTTAAACCCTCCATCTCGGTCTCGAGACCGTGTGCCGTCGCTGATTCATCTCATCCCCAGCGTTCCTCTTCCCGCTCAGAGCGGCCCCCCTTGCACGCCCCTCATGATATCGTCCGACGCAATGCCTGCCGCTCGACCTCTAGCATCCATCCAGTCTCTCCCCGCTGAGGTCACAGAGCAGATCCTCATCCTCACTGCCGCCGCCGGCTTTCCGACTGCGATCGCCTCTCTCGCACAGACCTGCCACGTCCTCCATACCATCGTATACCACTCTACGGACCAGCACCTTTGGCGCGAGGTCTTCCTGACCACATTTGACGACCCGAGGCAGGGTTCATCCGACGAAGACCAGCAGAGGGACAACCTGGAGTGGGGCAAGGAGTTCCGACGGAGGGTTTGGACGATGAATTACTTCCGGCGCACGACAGCATCTGCGGCGAGTGGCTCCTATTCTAGCAGTTTAATATTATCTCAGAGCGAACTCACCCTCGCCGAACAAGTCGATTCCGACATCTTCGTTCTGGAATCGATCATTTCCGTCGTACGCACCGCTCTCCCGTTCCCCCCAACAATCTGCTACTCCATTCCCCGATCATACCCCTCTTACATCCCACATGGTCCTGGTATCGAGCCCACCTTCCCAGGCTACTCGATCTTTCCTCCCCAGACTCATCCGTCTGCGCGATCTTTGTCGAAGAACATCTCGTGGCTCGAAGCGCTCTTTCGCCATGGCTACCCACCATCGCTCGCGCAGAAGCTTTCGGGCATCGAATGGGAGGGTGGCGTGATGATCAACGACCTCAGCACGCTGCAGGCCCGTTTGATTCAGGCTCTCGGGCGTGTGGTTTCATATACTGGCTTTTTGCCGGTCCCTCCAGTTGGCAGTGAGGAAGTCACCAACGATAGCATCGCAGATGGCGTAGACTCTCTGGACGAGGCAGACGAAGATGCCGCTAAGGATATGGTCGACTCCACGTGTGATCGGATCGAGCAAGAAGACTTCATTACCGCTTCGGACGATGAAGAACCGGTCGACGACACTGCTGGGTCGTCTTTGCCCGACATGAGCATCGTGGCGCAGAACCGGCGTGCACGTCGCCTCGCACGCATGCGCGCATACAATTTACGCTATCTATCGCCCAACCGATACTGGGGACCGTTCCTCCCCGTTGAGGACAACCAGTCCGCGGAAACCACCTGCGAAGACGAGTGTGCCGAAGAGGAGGACATGACACAGTGTCTGGACTACGACTATTCCAGCAGCAGTGACGAGGACGACGAAGAGTGCGCTCTGTCCGGCTCGCCCGAACAAACTGTGCAACCGCCAGATGAAGCTCTACTGCTCCCCGACTGGGCGTACCTCGCAGCCGCGCGCGTCATCGTCGAGGCGAACCTGCGCGAGGCGGTGGGGCCGGAACAGTTCAACGGGCTGACCGCACTCGAAAGCCTGCGTGCGGGCAGTGCCCCGATGGATGTCAGCGCGAGCGTGTTCAGTTCGCGATGTGTGGAGAAACAGGTCAGCGGTATGGCTGGCGCTTCAGTCCCCTCGACGATAGGGTGCGCATCCATGAGCGACGGGTGGGACTGGGCGGGCGTTACGGGAGTGTGGAGGTGCGTTGTGCGTTGCGGGAATGTCTTCACGTCGCTGACGTACGCTACTCGTAGGCGATGCATATGCTGGCTTGACTATTGTGATTTGAGAAGTGAGTGACACCACATGAACGACGTCCCTACTTTGCTCATCATCATTACATTTAGCGCACAACGTACGTATCCCCGATTGCGCATCTTTGTCTTCGTCATCGCTTACGCCTCTCATCTAGCTCTCAGGTGGCTTCAACGACCCACAGCTCACGGAGGCGGTCCGCATCGTGCCAATGCGCCTCCGCGTCGTATCCTACTCGCCCTCGCCCATTGCTGCATACCCCAACCGACCGATCATCCAAATCGCGGGCGAAACATCGGGCTTGACGACGACTGGGCAGCCGCGCAAGCTCAAGGGCGCCGTGCGCACGCTCGCGGATGGCAGCGTCCGATGGACGGTCATCTTCGTACGTGCAACTCCGCTGCGTGTTCGCGTGTGTGTTTGCTGATGCAGACCTGTGCGACAGACTGGCCGGAAAGACGGCGACCCGGACGAATGGACGAGCGAGGGCGTTCAGATTGGCGGAGTGACGTCTGCGATGGGCGTCCTGGGCATCTGGACGGGCGCGCAGCACGAGAAATCGGATCCTCTAGGTGAGCATCGCGTTCCCCTTTCCGCATGCCATATGTTTTCTCATCTTCCGCGCTTTCGCGAAGGCCCCTTCTGGGCATGGAAAGTAGGTTAGAACACCTCCGACGTCTTCATCTCGACAATATGTGTGGGCTATCTATTCTTGCGCGGGCGATTTTGGGCTGGAATACTTACCACTATGTAGTTAAATCTGTCTTTCGTTACGCATGCGTTGACTTTCGCATTGCTGTAGTTGCTTTCTAATTGTATTCATTCTATGTCTCGGAATCCGCTGTGTGAAGTCATGATATTTCTTGTCGTTGTACCACACACGTATGGGCAAATCACATTATGACAGTTCATAAAACACAAATTATAATGTACCCTACGATTCAACTAGTCACCAGCTACATCATGCGAGAGTCCATGTATCATTCTTGCTGCTCGAAATGAAGCTAGCACTGGTCCCTATGATTGGTAACCGCGCGATCAGCGCAGCTCATCCGGCGGTCGCCACTGACCACCACAGCTGTAGCATTCGCGTCCATACTCGTCGCTCGGCGGGCCAGAGCGAGGGGACAGTGGATTGTCATCCACGCGCTGCTATCGGTGCCCACCGTCGTAGCTGTACCGCTTCGGCTCTCTGTAGTCGTAGTCATCGTGCGGCGGCCTGGGGTATGGTCGCCTGACAGATGGGTGTTGATGGCGCAATGCATCATCGCCGGTCAAGGGAAGGGCCGCCATGCGTGCCATTAATGATTCTTTGAGGTGTTTGCCGCGTGGCGGTGGAAGGTCAGTGGGAGTGATGGGGGAGGACGGGTTTGGCTCGCGGTGGTCCATACTGCTATGCCTTGGCAATGGCGTGGCGTTGGGCTGGGGCATTATTGACTGTATTCCTGTGGTGCAATCGATCACAATAAATTATGTCACAGTTAGGTTATCTGTACCGTGTGATGGTCTCGATAATTGAGTCACTATCGTCGAGGGCCTTTCCGGAAGAGCAGATTTCTTTGCAAGCCTGATTGAGGCTAGCCTATCAAAAGGGCCGGACGGCAGAGGTGGAGGAGTTGCCGTGGGAGCGCGTGGTATGGCTGGTGACGCAGGACGTTCTGTTTTAGTTTGCAGCTTGGGAAGGGCAGATGGTGGGGCCATCGAATGCGCCTGAGAGGCAGTGACTACCGAGGGGTAGGATTCCACTCGCTTCTTCCTGTCAGGGACTTCCCCATCTTCGCCGTCCTCCTCGTTCCGCTTCCTCTTAAGTGGCCGGAGCTTAGCAGCGGCGAGATGCTTCGGATCAGGCTTCATATCCGACGGCTTGAGATCGCGAACAAAGTCGATCATCGCGTTCAGCACGCGCTGGTTCAGCCGGATGTCGACCTCCCTCGCGCGTATGTCCTGACGCATGTGTTTGATCGCCTCCGCGAGTTGTGCGAGCGTCATCTTGTACTTCTGGTTGTGAATGAGTGCGACAGTCGCTATGAACTCAACTGGCGCGAGCTTCTTGACGTCAAGGAGGCGGAATGCGGAGCTGTACGTGTCGTCCTGCGCGAGCATCAGGAATATTTGATACGTCTGGTGGACCTGGTCCCGAAACTTGCTCTCAGGTTCGTCGGGGCGCGAGAGCATCTTCTGCAACGTCGGAAAGGCAATTGCGTTGTTCGCAGACGCCAGATCATTCATGAGGACTACGGACGAGGTGACACAGCGGAAATCGCTCCCGCGGTTCGTGTCCCAGGGGAGCAGTACCGCGAGGCTTTCGTTAACATAATCGTTTTGCAGGTCGCGCACAAACGTCGCCATGGGGCTTTTCGTGGCTTGTAGCTTCTCTGTGTCAGATCCGTGTTAGTGACGCTAATAATCATTGCAGTGTGAGTACGAACCTGCGGGCGTAAGAGCCATGCCGAGTTGAACTCGCTTCTGCGATGTGAGAAGTGGATACTACGGAGAAAAATGTTGGCATACCTGGAAGATCTCCCTCTCATAGTCATTACTTAAATCCTGGTATTCTATGCACACCTGGGAGACATTATCAGTTGATTGTCGGTAGTCGATTAACCAAACACTTTATACCATTTGCTTGTTGCGGAAGATCTTCTGATAGCGCTCAGGAAGCACTCGTATGCTTTTGAACTTGCCAATGTCTTTGTAAACAAGCCTCTCTCCAGTAAATCTGCAGCAGTTGGTTTACCTCAAAGGGACGGACATGCAGAGCGTGAACTCACGAATCCTTATCTGCATAAGAAGTGACCATCAGCAAGATTACTAACGATTTGTGTTCGGAGGCCTACAGTAAATCTGTCGTCCCATCCATCAGCGTCTGAACAGGCGACAGTGTACAATGAACTCACTTCGCCGTTTAGGAATCTGCAACAGAGCGGAAGTCAGTTGCTCTGCGGCGTCATGAACGCAGAAGCTTTGCCTTACCTGAATATAGACGTCAAACGCTGCTTGCCATCGATGCAGACCCTTCGTTCGGAACTATCTTCACGGTATACCACGGCTGTGGCGCAGGATAAGAAACGCATGCTATGTCTTCAGAGGGTCGCACATACCGAAGATGAGGGGAGGAACATAGAAGTTCCTTAGAATGGAGTCGATCAACCCTGGTCGGGTCTGAGTAAAGCTAGTCTGAAGTTCAATATGAGAGACCCGTACCTATTTGCTTAGATTCGGGCCATACCACCTCTTGGAATGATGTTTGGAATCAGTCAACAGCACGGCAATAGACCAGTCAGGTTGTATTCACCACGCTGATAGTCCGGCGAGAGATCAATGTCGTCGCTTACAATTTGTTCTGAGGAATTTTGCGTCGGCGGCTAGGACGAGACAGTCATGGTGAATGCGTACCGTACAACGCCTGTGTAGTGTAGCTCGTAGTGCGGTACGGCTTCAATGCTCCCCGAATTCTGTACTCGTCGTCGTCGTCATCTCCCATCCCCTTTCGCTTTGCACCCCTGCTGGCACGCGAGGACAGAGGGACATCGTCCTCGTCGACGAAGTCACCGTAGTCAGACATGCTTGGGAAATCGAGACAAGACGATGACACGGGTACGTGAGCAATATATTCCAGGAATTTTGGAGGGGGAAATTGGGTGGGAAGAGGTGAGTTGGGCGCAACTGTCGGGATCAACACAGTTCCAGAGTTCTGAGTTCTGAGTAATAAGTGGCACGCCGTCGACAGACGCCCATATGGTGGTGGGCGCTAGACGGTCCCAAACGACTTGACCGCGTCCATCGCGCAGCGGACCACTGCATTCTTCGCAATGGACAACAGTACATTCTATACGCCAACAAATGCCTCTTCATCAAGTAGGTTGCCAACCTCCGTGTTGAGGTCGCGCAAACGTGACTCATTGGCTGCAGAGCTCGAAAGCGGTACGTCGGATGGCCCTCGCTCCGGCAAGTCAGTGAACGCCTCTCATCGCCTCAACAGACCCACAGCTCTCTACCTCTAGGCGGAAACAGCTTTATAACTCATACTCCTCTAATGCGGCTCATCTAAGAATGCAAACTGAGTTGGCAGAGCTGCAAACACTGAGGGCGGAGCTGCAGAAGACGGTCAAGGAGCAGCAGATCCAGATTGACTCCCTCGAACGGGACAGACGCTTCCTGTCAGATAGGGAGGAAGAAGAGATGAGGGAGAACGAGCTGTTAAAGAAAGAACGCGAACAAACAAAAGTATGCTTTATTCCTCACTCTTTCCCCAAACGTTTGGGTTTGAGGCAGTTTGAACGTAGCGTCAACATCGGGATCGTCTATCACAGCTTCAAGGTGATCTACAAAGTCTGCAGGAACAGTATGCAAGCTTGAAAGATGAACACGCGTCGCTAGCCAGAAGCACCAGCCAGACCATCGCCACTCAGAAGTCACAAATCATGGCGCTCACTCGGCAGGTCTCTCTCCTCGAAGATCAGTCAGCAGAATTCAAGCGTCTCGCAGAAGAGAGAAACAAGGCTGTTCAAGAATTACAGATGCAATTCGATGACCTCAATGCGTCGCACGACATGTCCATCCACGAGGAACATGAAGTGGAGAATTGGAGGGTATACCGACCTGAACTTGAGCGACAGCTGGAGAAGATGCATGCGCTTGAGGCTGAGAATGCGACGACACGGTCCGAGTTGCTTCGGATGAGAGATAGGCACGCGAGCATCGAGGTCATGAGGGAGCAGAATCGCGACCTTGAGCGTAAAGCTCGAGGAGCAGAGGAATTGCGAGACAAAGTGGTCCGGCTTGAGGCTGAACTCGAGGCCTCAAGGAAGGAGCGAGAGGCGTGGTGAGTGTGTCCAAGGTCTCAATATCTTGCAGCTGACGCTTTGTAGGGAAATTGAGCATGCAGCTCCTTCGACACCATCGAAAACTCCAGTGTCCATTACCCAGAGTCTCTCAGATCTCCGCCTCGCACATGCACGTCTACTTGAGAAGCACGGCTCTACTGTTGTCAGTCTCCGCCGACGGGAAACCGAACTCGCTGAATCCGAACAACGTGTCTCTGAGCTGAAGACATCGGTAGAGCAGCTGCAAGTCGAAGCACGCGAAGACAAGGACAAGCTCCTGCGTCGCGAGCTTGAGAACTCCATACAGAAGACAGATATCGATTTCTTAAAGGCTATGCTGGTGAGCCCAACATGGCTTCATGAAGCATTCAAACCCATATCCGTGGCTATTGCAGGACTCATACTCTCAGGAACTCTCGCAAGAACAGGATATAAAAAAGGAAGGATCTGCTGCGGAGCGGATCAATCAATTGGAAGATCTGCTTGCTGAGTACAGAGCCTCGGTGCTGCAGACCGAGCAAGACTTGGGTGAGCTCGTTGTTAGTGCTTCCCAGCGTGGCGAAGGCGAAGGTTTCAAACGGTTACGAGACGATCTACGGAAGGAGCAGGCTGCCAGGCTAGAAGCCGAAAAAGGTGCGTCATGCATAGCTTGGAATGAAACTGATAGTCCTCTAAGCACCTTCATTCGTTTAGCCCTCGAAGAAGCGGAGAAAGTTTCAGAGGCACTCGAACAGAGGATCGAGGAGCTGGAGCAGACTTTGTTCGAGCTCCGCGGGGAGATCGGTGCGGGCAGGCATTTGCCGCCGGGCATGCGTGTGCTGTCTCTCAGGGACAATCCGGCGCAGCAGTGGGAAGACCTGAGCAAAGCTGCCATGGACCGTCTCAAAGGCGAGAATGAAGCACTTCTGAATCGGTTGAAAGAGCTCGAGGAGAGCGGAGTGAAGGGAGGTGCAGCTGTGAGCGGCCAAGATTTGGTGCCGCGAGAGAGTTGGGAGGTGCTCAGCAAGGAGAAAGCCGAGCTGCAGGATCAGCTGAAGCAGAAGGAGAAGCGGCTGTTGCGGCTGCAGCAGGTGCGCGTTTCTCATCTCCTTCCAAAGACCCCACTACTCACACTGTCATGTCGTCGCAGGTTTTTTCCGCAAAGAGTGCCGAGTTCCGCGAGGCGATCGCGTCGATCCTAGGCGTGAAGCTCGCGTTCTACCCGAACGGGCAGGTGCGTGTGACGTCGATGTTCGACTTGAACGCTGCGTTCGTGTTCCAGCCGACGGGGTCGGGCGAGGGCGAGGGCATGCGGATGCAGCTCGTCGCTCAGGGCGAGGGCGGTCCGGAAGAATTACCACAGCTCATGCAGTACTGGGTAAACCAGGAGCAGTGCATACCCGGCTTCCTGGCGAGCGTTACTCTGCAGTGCTACGAGGCGAGCAAGCTGGAGCAGGAGAGGTCACATGGGCAGTAGTCGATCATTTTCCATCAGGTGTTTTACCCTTCATACAGTTACGCAGGAACGCGAGAACGTTGCTACGACGAGTTAAATTGACTGAATGTAATAGCAGAATTTATGGAGAATCATCATGGCTGTGCAGGGCCGTTGGCGTAAGCGGACTGTGTCTCGTAGGTTGATCAGTTCTAACACCAGGCCGACCAACGTACTCGATTCATATGCATGCTGTGGCGCGAACTGTGACGGCAACTTCAGGCAGCCCCCATCGTCTTATGACTATCCACAGACTATTGCCACGGCTCAAAATCAATCCACGCGACATTCCCAAACGTCCCATTGAACGGATACTGGAACACCTTCTCCGCGCTCGAATACGGCTCATACTCCTCCGGCGTCATCAACCACGTCAGCCCCGCTTCTAACCGCCCCGTGAGGTTGAATCCGGGCCCAACGTCGTAAAACTCGGCCATCGTCGTGTTGTAATCGATCCGCGGGTCCGTCGACTGCCACTCGATGTACCCCGATGGCCTAATACTATCGTCGAGATAGTCGTTCGCAAAGATGGCGCGCATTTGTGCGTTCTTCATAGGTGAGTTGTGCTGGTCAGAGTGAGATTGCGGGAGTAGATGAGGAGAGAGACTCACCCAGGGCCGCCCGAGTGCACACTCGCCAGCGATATCCAGGCTATTGTTCGCCTTTCTTACCGTTGACTCATGTATGTACACCCCATACTTGTTCTCAAATGTCGTGTTCGTTCCTTTCCATGCTGTGATTCCACCCCCACATCCGCGCAGCGTCACCAGCGACGAGTTGATCCACGCCGTGCCGAATCCATAGAAAAAGTCCGTCTGTCCCGCAATCTCGCTGCCGTAAAAGTACGCGTTGCCCAGCTTGCCGATGTAAATCTGCTCATCGTATTCTGAATCAGCATAGCGGGGTTTTGAGATCAGACGAAGCGGTCCTCACCGTGTCCTGGTAGCTATAAAACCCACTATAGTAGAACCCGCTATTCGCATAGCTCACGCTCACCGCCAAGCTGGGCCCATCTGAGTACGGCGCATAGTCATTCACAAAATCCACATTATACACCCTGAAATCCACATTCCCGAACGGTGTCCCGGGCGGCACCGCATTCCCATTGGGTCCCGAGCCCGTTAAGCTCGCGTTCAGCGTCGGCGCGACGGTCAACACGGAAGTGTATGCGTTGTCGCCCGTCCCCGCGACCGCCGCCCAGAACACCGCGACGCGATTCTGCGTGCGCTCTGTCGGTGCGGAGGTCTGCCCCAACAGCGTCACCGGTCCCGGATGCGTCACATTCAGCTGCTCAGTGTAGTTCCCCTCCTCGATGAGGATCGTGTACGCGGTGGTGTCGTTGGGCAGGCTGAGGATGGCGGATTGGACCGAGGAAAAGTTGGCGTGGGTGGAGGAGCCGACGAGCAGCGTGTTGGAGGCGCAGCCTTCGAGTGGATCGCTGGTCGGATATTGACATGCTGCACGGTTGAAAGCAGCGGAGACGGCGGAGCAGAGATATATGCTGACGGCGAGGAGGAACACCCTCGTTCGAAGGGCCATTTGGGCGGCGGGCAGTAGGCAACCACGTCGTTAGAGCCATCGTGTGCCACGCTGCCCTCCCAGAATATATCCTCGAAGGATTGCATTCGATTCGCGTGAGAGCCGAGGATCAAGTGATGCAGCATGCGAGGCTCCCCGGCCCGCCCGCTTTGCGCGTAGCACGCACGCATGAACGCAGCGTCACCTGACCGCGTAGCAGAAGGGGCGCCTGAGAGGGCGGGCGTACCTCGCACGTTCTGCAACGCTGATGTTGTCTTTTGAGGATTTGTTCTGGCCAGAGAGATGAGCAAGGTGCACCCTGACTAGACTGGTTTCGCAAATGTACCATAAGAGAGACAGCATTAATACTGAATAACGAATGTGCACCGGCTCACTCATACCAGATTCTGCAACGGATCACCACCCGCAGCCCTCTCGACGCCCTTCATCACCACCTCGACCTTCTTTCTCCTCTCTGCATCATCCCCCGCGCTCTCATCCTCACTCTCCGCCTTCGGCCCGTCCACCATAAACTCCGCCACGAACCGGGCGACGGCACGCTCGCCCACCTCGCTCATCGCACGCGGACCCCAGCGCCACTCGACTGCATTCGCGCCGTCGTCGCCCGCCGGCGCCGCCGCGGACACACGCCCACGCTTGCCAGCCCCCTTCGTCTCGCCAATGCGTTGTCGTTCGAGGTAGCCCTGCCGAAGGAGCTGCGCGAGGTAGGCGTCGACCGTGAGGGATGTGCTTGTCGAGCGGCTGCTTAGCGGGAGCGTGGCGCCGTGGCCAAGATTGAGGCGTTTCAACAGGCTTCGCAGGTCATCTGGCATTTGTATCAGGACATCGGAATATGAGAGAGCATGATACGGAACACGTACTGTCTCTCATGACACGGCCATCTACCAAGATCAACGCGAGGATGGTGTACAACACGCCGACCGAGCCCAGCTCGTCGGACCGCTCCCAGGCCAGGATGCTCCCCACCGAGCGCGTGCACGGCCCGTCGTCATCCTCGTCGGTGTAGACCTCATCATTGTTCGCCATATCCTCACGCTCGATCGCCAGGATGTCCGCGTCTGGTGCACATGCGCGCTCGATAATCGCAGGGTCCAGCACCGACCGCAGGATGTACGCCTTCGTCCCGATCGGTGCGGCTAGCAGTGGGCTGCATGAGTGGGACCAAATGGACGAGCACAAAGGGACGACGCACCGCGTTTCCTGACGCCTGTGTTCTTCAGGAGCTCGCTCTCCTTGCTGTTCGCGTCCTTGTCCTTCTCTAACTTGGCACCGCGCGTCTGCAGCTCATGAAGCTCCATCCCGAACGTCTTGCGCAAGATGTCCTGTGCGCGCGCAAGCACGAGGTTGAATGAGCGCGTGTTGGATCCGAGAACTGCAGCCAAGTGAAGCACGAAGATAGTAGGCGTAGCACATCGACGCACCTTTCTTTGATATTTCGTCTCTCTTGAGCGGGACCCGCTTGCTTTCCGTGAACAGCGCGAGACGGACGAGATCGTTTGCTTTTCTCTCCAGCTCCTGTACGGGCCCATTTGATCCTTTTGTTGTAGCATAAGGGACCGTTGCTCACGTTTTGCGCGACGTCCACTTCCATGTCCTCGTCCACTCCGTCTGCTGCTTCCTCCGCGTCACTTTGCACCCTCGCGTTGTTGTCTTCTTCTTCATCATCATCTCTTCGTCGATGTCGCCGGCGCTGAGACTGGCTTGGCTGGGGTTGTGAGGGAGGCTTTCGCGCCATAATACAGAAGAGTAGAATTGCGATGAGTGCGGATGAAGTCGAAGTCGCGCTGCCACAGGCGCGTCGCGCGCATCTCACTTGCTCACGCCTGGCACGTATGCGTGATGACCATCGATCACACATAAAACCGGACTCAGTCAACTCGGCGGGTGCATCCAACCAGCAGGCCATGCAGTCTATTTTACAAGAATAATATTCACTGAGCTACAGCCACAACCAGTCTACGACTCCGAGTACTTGCAGAATCACGACGAGAAAGATCCAAGAGTCAGTACTTACTCAAACCCACCTCTGCACTACGACGCTGTTCGCAAGGCGCGCAGCCTCAACCGTCTGGCTGTCATCGTCCAGGATACGGTTGGGGAACGTAGTTCCGATCGTATACGGACGCGTGAGATTCTCCGGGCGGGATCTACGAAGAAGATACGTTGTCAGCACTGCCCGGAGGGAGGATTGACAGACACGTACGCGTTGATGAAGTTGCGTATGTCCCGAACCGTATGCGTTAGGTTCATCCGGCAGACCATGCTATGCAACAGCGTCAGCCGACAATCAGCAGCAACGACCGCAACACATCCACGCACCGAGTACCATCGGCCAGCCTGATCTGCACACTCGTCGTCGGGCGCGTCCGGTCGACTTCAAACCTTGCACTAATGCTCTCTGGAGTGCTCTCCCGAGCGCTGGTAGAAGGCGCTGTGCTGGGCGCGGGGAACGAACCCGGCATGTCAGCGGTGCTCGCCACGCCAGAGCTGCTCGTAGCCAACGGCGGCACCGGCGAGCCAAGGCGATGGCCGCTGCCCGTGAACGTGCTCGCGCTGCTCGCCTTTGTCGTGGGCACATAGTCGTCCTGCAGGCGCTTTACTACCCGCAGCTCGACCGGCTGTCCTGGGGACACGTTGAGAATATGAGGCGGGGCGCGGCTGAGGTTCCTCTCGTAAGGCGATCAGGATAGCGAAAACACGTAAGACTCACCCTGAGTTGATTTCAGCCAGTATCTGGGAGTTCCCAGGTGTGTCGTAGCGCATCAACTCTCCATCTTCAACACTGAACCCATCCCGCCAGAAGGTCAGGTGACGGATTGCGGTCTCCTCTTCTGGTTCTGTGACAAGCGGGACTGGTCAATCGCGTAAGGTATATACATGACGAAGGAAGCACATACCCGCAGGAGCATTAGGATCGGGAATATACTGGCTTTCCACTTCATCGCTACCCAATGTGTGCCCGCCGCCAGTAAAGGTCGAGCTATGAGCAGCGGTGGTGGGAGGACCAGGAGGAGGGCCCGCTCTGCTCGCAATCAGTACACATAGCACGACCTAGTGAACTATGTCACGCACTCGGCCGCCCTACGGAGTAAGTCTCGCACAAGGTTCCCGCCAGGGACGTCACCTCCAGGTCGGCCCGGGTTTTGTACGGATATACCACTGGGTGCCCAGAGAGAGCTCAGACCCGGCAGCGAAACAATATTGAAGTATGCACAAACCTCCTCTCTCCTCCAGCAAACCAGCTCTCTCCCTCTTCACCTTGACGTTCGTCCTCATCCTCGTCATCTTCACTCCCGGCGCGTCCCCCACCGAAACCGCCCATCGGGGGCGCAGGACCGCTGCTGCCTACATCTCTGAGAGTCGCGAACCTGGGTCCCCCAGAGCTGCTCCTGCTGGCACTACTGCAAAGACTATCAGAACGACTGTCGGAGATCGACGGAGATGCGACGCACTTTGAGGATGATGGTGTGCTGTTCCAGCTGCCGATGCGGCCGATCCTGGGCCCAGTGTTTGAGGGCAGCCGGGACCACGGTCTCGTCGGTCGATTCTCGTTGTTCTCTTCAGACATCTAGGACGTTTCGAGAGCAGAGGTGATGATGGAGGTTGCGTGCCAGAATGCGCACTCGACGCTCGCCACAGCCTGCACTGACGCGTCCAGGACCATGTGACACGCGCACGCGTTTTAGCGCGAGTTAGGCTTGAGTGGCCACATCCACTGCTGGGCCCTCTCCAAAGCAGCATCTCAGACAAGGCTGAGGTGCGTTTGGATCTCGCAGAACAAGTACAGCTTTACGCAGCAGACTCTTCTTTTTACAGACACAAAACGAAGTCCACGGTCTCAGGGATAGCATCCTAGGACTGATATCCGAGCACGCCTACGTCGGCTACCAACAGCAACGGTTTTGAAACTACATGTCATTTCCAGTCACAGTCTTACACGTCTCGCGGCGCTGGAGGACCGTCGCGCCTCGCACCCCGACGATCTGGTTCTACCTCCGCCTGACTGGCGTACAGTCCACAACTTACCTCTCAACCTTCGTAGAGCGGTTTTTGGACTCACCCCTCGATATTGTCATGAGATCTCACGTTCTGAAAGGCACTAACTGGACAGTATTTTTACAAAGCCACGAGTGGCGCACGTACACGTCGTACATGGTGCAACTCCTTCAGCACGTCGACCGTTGGCGGCGTTTTTCACTCTTTGCATCGCACGCAGAAGCCGCACACGCATCATGCTCAGTACTAAAGGGCTGCAGAGCGGCACGCCTGCACTGTCTTCAAATTTGGCTGCTGAATTCAGCACCGCTGTTCATGGAGTATCTGTTTCTCGAGGGCAAGCCGTCCCTCGAACACGTGCGTCTCACCCACACGAGACTCGCGATGTTCAGCCCTCCATTGTACCATACGCTGATGGTCCTTTTTCTTTATTTCCAAGCGCGATCCCCCTTTCCGCACGAGAGCCTCCAGACGATATTGTCATCAGCGTCGATGCTCGCCAGGCTGTATATCAGTTGCATCAAGTGTACTCTTACCCAAGGCTGGCAAACGCCTGTCAATGCGCCTGCACTGCGCGAGCTGGACACAGCACGGGAGCTCAATGCTCTCTTGCGATCTCTTGCGAGTGGGAAGCGTTCCTTGTGCTTCCCGTCCGTCGAGAGCTGACTATCCACCAGACGTGCTGCGAAATGGACCGGGATTTCCCTGCACACACCGTGTTGACCTCCACCTTTCCAAACGTGACCATCTTGCGAATGATTGATGTCGAGGCGAACGCGTTTCTGTCTTATCTACGGGCTGTCGACCCCAACCAGGCGCCACCGTGGTGCATCTTGCGAGGTCTGGTGCCCACCCAGTTCGCCATCGGATGCGAATAACTACCGCACGAGGTCGTCGAATCGCGCAAGCGCGCAGGAGCACGGCTCGCCTCGTTGAGCCTTGGCTCACAAATGTACCTCAATGACGGGACTGTACAGTTCTTGTAGCGACAACTCCAGTTGTCCCTCTACCTCCCAACGGGGCCAGGGTTCTTCCGCGACGTGGAAAAGCGAGACGAGCACGGCACAGATAACCTGCTGCCCTGTCCCGGTCATCCTGTTCATCCTGGATGAGCGCCTTAAAGCGGCGCGATAATTGCCAGGACTGCAAGCTCAAGATCAATGCTGCCTTGCCATTGTGAATGTGCTATGGCCTGATATCACATTCAATCTGCAGGCATGTATTGCATGTCGGCTCTGGAGGAAGCACCGAATTGACGGTCCCGCTCGGAGCAGCAGTTCAAGGTACCGTACCGGAGACTGCTTTCTCCACGTGCACAGGCGAACGTATGACCGGAAAGCCTTATACATGCTATGTACAGCAATGTAAATTTTTCTGGCAAAGTCACACCGCAGCAACTTAGATGCGGATGAGTGCGCCCCCAATGTGGTAAGTGTGCGCTGCTTGCTGTCTGAGAAAGGAAAGCGGACTTGCAGAAGTAGCAGAGAGATCCACCGTGAAGTCAAGCCGTGCGAAGTGTTGCCCCTTACCGGTTGCCTCCTATATGTTGAGTTGGTCATTAAATCTGGGTCACGAGCATGCACACTCTTGCGATGACAATGTACATGCGTCAAGTTTTGAATACTGTACCCTTTTGACCACAGGTTCATGGCCCATGGGGTGTGACGCGTGACGCTTCAACTGGGCTGGACCTTAGTTCACGACCCCCTGTGACATGGGACCCCGGACAAAACTTCAGTTCAGTTCAGTTCAGGCGCTTATACCGTAGGACCTAACCACGCGCGAAAAGAGCTCCGGAACGGCAGTTCTAACCGGCTGGTGACGCGTGATGTTTGAACTGAAAGGTCAATTCAAGGGTGCGTGTGACGCGTGACTTAACCTATCACGGAGCTGAGAAGATCTACTGAGATCTATCAAGATCTATCAAGATCTCGCGGTCACGATCGCAGAATCGCGTCCTTCGACACCGAAGACGTCTTTTGATGGCCGATCCAATGCTGGCCGCCCCTGCCTGTGTAATTTCCAGCAGAGGCCCGGGGTCCTAAACGCACAGCGGGTGTTGATCACGTGATTGTCAAGCTGTCAGGAATTAATTGTTGGTGGTGGCCAGTCACAGTCACAAGTCAAACACTCGCACATGCCTTCTCAGTTTGCTCTGAAGATGTATCTGAAGACCGTCACGGCGTCAAGGGTGTTACCATTGACATTTCTGTCCGAGCCATCCGAATTGAAGGAGCAGCGAGTGGTGTGAGCCGTCGAATTGTACTGAGACATCCTTGCCTTGCGCATTGTGCCGCGCACTATTGGCTGATAAATTCATGCTGCACGTATCCACCAATGTGCCTCCCAGAGTAGGAGTCACGCACAAGTCGGCGAGCACTATCAGAGGGGCACACTGGCCAGGGAGTGGCAGATCACCCTGCATACGTCACGCCTAGCAGTAGGGCATGTATTATTCCACATCACGAGAATACACTACAAAGCCAAACCACATATTTAAACGGAGGCACACAATTTCCCGTGCAGTAAACACACCAACCGACCGTCTAACAAAACGATACACTTACAATATTGTGATGAGTGCTGCTCAGGCTCAGAAATGCTGCGGATGCGTCACCTCGATGAGCACCCTTAGACCCTTGGTAATCCCCGCCAAGATCCGCTCCCCCGTCTCACCAACCGTCAAGCACACCTGCCCACCGCACCTCTGGCGCACCATCCCCTCTCCCCCTCCCCCCGACGCACACTCACACTGCATATGCATCGTACCCGACGTCCCACGCAGCACGATCGTCACATTATTCCGGTCCGTCCTACTCACCCAAAAAACACACCTCATCAGATCCAGCTGCCAACTGCCAAGTGAAAAGTAATGAGAAACGCACGTCGCAGGATACCCGCTCTCCCTAACAAGCTCATCCGCCACGCGCCTCACGAGCACCTCATCCACCAGCGTCTCAGGGGCGACGATCACCGCCCAGCTCCCCTTGAACCGCACCAATCCCCCGCACGCCCGCTCCGCCGCCAGCGCCGCATGCAGCGCCGCGCTCGTCTGGTACTCCAGCGGCTCCGGCGCGGCGTTTGCGGCGGTTGGAAAAGCGACCGACGCGGGCGCGGCATTTCGAGGAGAGACCGACGCGGGTGCGGAGGGGGGAGGCTCGGGTATGGATGTGGGGAGGGAGAGGGGGAGAGACGATAGCGCGCTCGGCTTGAACCGCGGTTTCTCTTTATCCTTCAGCGGCGGCGGCGGCGGCGCGCGATGCCACCCATTCGTCGTCGGGTCGCGCGTCCATCCTTGCTGCATCGCAGACGCGTCCGTGTTCGTCGGCGGTGTCTTGCGCTTCTCGTTGCGAACCGTCGTTGATGCAATCGTGGAGGGGCCCGCCGCCAGCTGGTCTTCCTCCTCCTCCTCCTCCTCCTGTGCTTGCGGCAGAGGCGCGAACGTTGCCGTGCCCATGCTTGTTGCTGGCTGGGCGCGGCCCGGGGTAGCCATCGTGTCCGGAGCGCGGAGGAACGCATCCTCGTGGAGATCTTGGAGCGGCTGCACGTCAACCTCGAAACCTCCTTCTTCCTCATCCTCATCCTCATCCTCCTCCTCCTCCTCCTCCTCCTCCGGGTTCTCAGTCAACAACGTCCACCCATGCCTCTCAACAACACGCGGCTGCTCAACAGCCCGCATCGGCGTAGCGACAGCCGGCGGAGCCTGCTGCTGCACATCCACATTCCTCGCCACGACCTTGCGCGCACGGCACGACCTGCAACTCGCAAACCGATACTTGCCGCGCGGCGGGAGCCGATTCTCGCACTCAGGCTCGGCGCAGACGCGCTCGGCCCGTGCGGCGGGTAACGGCCCCCTGACGGCGGGCGAGGAGTCGATGAGCACGTACGCGCGATTGCGCGGAGGATGGGATGGGGCGCTAGGTCCCGCGGGTGACGGCTGCTCCGGACGCACGCTGGACGGCTGCAAGGTCTCGTCAACCACAATGCTCAGTGCAGTGTAAGCAGAACGCTCACGCTTAGCGCTCGGCGTGATGCTACGCTGGCAGCTCTCGCGGGAGGCTTCGACGCGCTCCTCCCGTAGACATTAACGGGCACGAGGGACATTCGTACGGGCGCGGCGGGCAGAGCCGCGGGCGCGCTCTTCCTCGGTCGCCCACGAGGCTTCTTGACCGGCTCCTCAGCCTGCGCAGCGGGACGTTCGCCACCATCCCGCAGCGAGCCGACCGCAGGCAGCGAGACCTTCCGCGGCCGTCCACGGGGCCTCTTGACTGGTTCCTCGACCTGCGCAACTGGACGCTCGCCACGAAGCTCTGGGCCGACGCCAGGCAGGGTGCTCTTCCGTGGACGTCCGGGCCCTCGCTTCACGACCTCACCGTCCTGCGTGGCTTGCCGTTCGTGATGGTCGTTCGCGGTCGGAGGTAAGGGATTCTTTCGTGGCCGACCCGGCGACCTCTTGACGACCTCGCCCTCCTGGAATGAGCGTTAGCAAACCATGACCACCATTGAGATTGCCGTGAGCTGACCGGAGGCAACGGATGCTTGCGTGGCCGGCCTACCGGCTTCTTTAGTACCTCGCTTTCCTGTATAGCTACAAGTCAACCAAGAACAACATTGAAATTAGATTTCGCTGACCAGAGGGAGCGGATGCTTTCGTGGCCGTCCCGGACCCCTCTTCACGACTTGGCTTTCCTGCATGCGTTCACCTTGAGCGTCAGTAGCTTCGAAAGACAATACACACTTACTGGGGCCAAGGGGTGTATGCGCGGACGCCCTCGGGGCCGTTTCGGTGGACCCGGGGGAAGCGCAAAGCTGGGTTGGTACGTGGTCGCAGCGTGTGGAGTGGCGGCGAGACTTTGTGAGATGGCCTCTGCGATCGAGAGCGCGGCCGGCGGACGACCGCGCTGAGGTTGGTTGCGGGTCGCGGAAACGGCGATGCGGGGGGCGGCTGCGCTTTGGCTGTGCCTGGTTGTGCTGTTGGAGATTGCGGGCACGCCGTGGCTGGATGCGAGACGCGTGAGGGGACGACCTCGGGGCATGCCCTCAAAGTCCTCTTCCTCCTGCCCTGCGGCGGACGTGCGTGCTCTCGGCCTCCCGCGAACGCCCGGCGTAGCGCGTCGTTGTTGAGTCATGCGCTCCGTTACGGCGTCAAAGACATCAGGAGAGATCGCGCGGGGGCGACTGCCCCATGAAGGACGGGAGACGTACGAAGAGGCGGACTGCGCGCGCGGCAAGGGCGTCCCGTGCCGACGGGTGCGCGGCGGCGTTTCCGGTGGGATGGGCACCACGTAGTCTTGGTACGACTCTCTGTATCCGGCCTCCGCATCGCCCTCGCCCTCGACGACCTCCTCCTCGGAATCGGGCACTTCGACGACCTCGGGCGAGCTGCTCCGGGTGTGGCTCCTCGCATACGTGAACGAGTCCGTTCGGATCGGCTGGGAGGGCTCGCTCATGAAGTTGGCCGAGTTTCTGCCAGGGCCGGCGGCAGGGCGGTGCGCTGGGGAGGCTGGCGTGCGTGGGAACGGCTGGAGGGCCATTTCTTGTCGCAAGAACACGTCGACGCGAGGAAAAACGACGCTCAGCGTGCCACGCGGGCACAATCACGTGGCACGCGATCCTCCCGTTCATTGGACGCGGCGAGTGTGGCTCCGCGTCCAATCACAACGCGCGCCGCCGCAGAGTCTGCGCCCGGAACAGTCTGTTGTTCGTTTAGGTGCGTGCTTCGTCGATCGTTCAACTTGACACGTTGAGGCGACGCCCACCAATGCTTATCGCGAGCGCGACCTCTTGCGCGCATAATGATAGCCCTACATCACGGCCAATCGACACCTTCTCGTCTCGCCTACTCACTCGCCGTGCGCGTTGCAAGACTACGCCCCCACCTCTCTCAAGTCCTCGCCCTGCACTCGCAAACGCATATTGCGGTACTCCGCACGGACGCTGAAGCCGAGGGTTAGCGGGTGTTGCATGCGTCTTCAGGTGAGTTCTCTCTCATGTTCACTGGCCCTCGCGGTCGATCCGTCGTCGCGTCCTGGCCAACTCCCCGTCTTGTCCGCCCAAGACGGGCATGCAGCGAGCGCCGCTATCCTGCACAGTGCACCTCGGCCCTCTTCGCATTGCACCCGTTGCGTGCGCTATGCGCTCAGTCTGACGGCTCACGCGCACGACTCACGTTCGATCTCACTACGCTTTCTGTGTAACCGCCATCTCATTTTTTCCGTCCGTCCATTCTATCCCTCGCCATACTAATCCTACTCCCATCCTCCATCCTCCCAATATATATCCCCTTCTGTCGGTTGGCCTGACAGCTACGTGAGGCGCGAGCGCGAGTTGGGATGCTGGGCACGACCTACCTGCTTGCGAGGCGATGAACGCGTTCTGCGCGGGAAGGAGCGTGAGCGACAGGCGACGGGCGAGGTGCGCGAATGGACTTACGGAACAGAGCCGTGGATGGAACGCTGTCCGCGTCAGTGGGGCTTGCTGTCCGCATGTTCGAGTCGTCCTCGTGCGCGTCAGTGGTCAGACAGCCGCGATCGGCACGCACAGCGCACCGTGACAGTCCAGGTAGCGAGTCTACACACGGCCACGACGAGCGAGCGGTGCGAGGACTCTACGGTGGAGATGAGGATGTGGCATCTGTAGGGTGTGAAGCTAGGTAGAAGAAGGGGAGGGGAGAGGAAATGCGGGGAGGAAGGCAGACGATGCCAACCTCCGTCTCAATATGTAATTATTATTAATCTGTGATTCTTGTGCTTTCTCACCATAGGCATGCCGTATGACACAGGGAAGTTCAGAAAATGTCGGCAAACCTTGCTGCTGGTGTTGTGAGTTGCCATATAAGTGAGAGAAGACCGCTCATTGAACACATTCTTTTCGCATCCCTGTAGAGGCCAGCCCCTCCAGACTCATTGTCTCCATTACAGTTTCCATGCATTCCCGCCTCAATACAAACCTGTAGCCTACCATGCTTTTGCCACCAATTCATCCGTGCCTGGTATCTGTTCATACTGCGGATGGTGCAGCATTATGCAGAGGTCAGGATGATGCTGTGGGAGATGCAAGAACGTCCGGTCATCGCAAAGGCAAGTCGAATGTCAGCGGAGTGCAGGAGGAACACACCCAGAATGTTCTGATTATACCGAGGTTGGATTCCATCCATACAGACTCGGGCTAGTTCGCTATCCAAGACCAATTTTGATGGTTGAGATGCACCGAAAGTCGAACATGAATTGATGATCAGACTGTGAAAAGTTCAGAAGGCCGGTCATCAAGAGGAAATGCACCCACCAGACAGCCTTCTCAGGCTATCGGATTGATGGATCGTGCGATGATCTACAATATTTCCGGTCACGTGTCACTCGTCGGCGGGCCCAGAATTGATGAACTACTGTGTCCACAAGTTCTCCGGAGAAAGCCTGGAGCGAGCGTGGGAGCCTCCAATCATAATGCTTCAAATGCGGCCCTAAACCCTAGAACAGAAGCGAGAACTCGCATGATTTGAAACTCCGCTATGGTGGTGGCGGCACCCTTTGACGAGAGATGTGTCACGTGGCATGCGATGGCACACATTATGCGTGCACTTTCAACCCCACCTGCCTCCTCTCCCTCTCTCTTAACTGTCCCTCCCTACCCCCTTGTCCCTGTTATTACATTTCAGGTCCTTGCTAGGTCAGCTTACCTGCTTCTCTTACAACCATCCAAAGGTGGCCTCGACCATCCAAGCTCTATGCCAGCTCAGGCAAGTCCAAGATCACCAGAGCAACCTGTAAGCATCTCCTCAGTTTCAGTGATGCATGAATGGTATATAATGCATCATTCCTGGCAAGTCCGATAAGTCACAATTAATGAAAGACATCGACTGCGCTATGAACGCGTCAAGGCGCGTTGAGCGCGTTGAGCACCCTGTCTGCCATGTTGTCACATGAGCGCGATCTCGTGGCTCAAGAGTCAATGTTTCTATTTCTCTGCTCCCGTTGTCATTCCTGTCCGTCAACGGTCGCATCTCTGGCCTGCCTTACTAACCGCGGTCGGCACCTGAAGACAATGGTCACGTTCGTGCAAACGTAGGCCTTGAAGCGCACCGGCCATGAGTCGTAGTGCTCGCTCAAACGGTCGCAAATGCAGAGCTGCGGTCATTGCAAGTGCGCGCCCATTTGATGGATATGCCAAGCACGTTTTTGAATGGGCATGAACTGACATCAGGAGCCGGTTCTGAACGAGAAGTAGCACCTGGGCTGCCGTTCGCAAAGAGTGCGAAGCGCGTTGACTTTGCATTCCCATTCAGCTCGCTGAGAAGCTGTGATTGCAGCGTTTGAGAGGTGCTCACGTCGGGAGAACTGCACGGATGGTGACCGTTTGGTCAGTTGTGATGGACCCGCCAGGATGAGAAAAATGAATGAGGAACGAGTTGGAGACCTCACGGTAGAAAAGGCAGACGAAAAAGCTTTATATCATGTATACAACAACTAGAATACAATCCTTAGACACTCGTTGATGCCATCCAACCCGGTTCTGGCCAATATCAAAGGAAAGTCATACCACCGTCAATACACCTCTTTCTGCCCTGTCCACTCCCCTATTTCTCTCATTCCACACGGTCAACCCCACGCCCACCCGGCCAGACGCTGACATGAGAAACAACCACGTGGAAGCACCGCTGGAGGTGCAACGCATCCGACACCCGCACCCTTACCCAGGAACTCAGCCACTCACATCGCTGAGCACGCATACGAATGCTCGCCCGCAGTCGGTGGGTCCTCTGTGAAGGTTTAATGTATGAACATACACGGTGAGTAGGTGTTGCAGGTCGCAGGACCAAATACGATGGCCTCCATGCCGCTAGCTGCTCCTCCTCCTCCTCCTCCTCCTCCTCCGGGTTCTCAGTCAACAACGTCCACCCATGCCTCTCAACAACACGCGGCTGCTCAACAGCCCGCATCGGCGTAGCGACAGCCGGCAGAGCCTGCTGCTGCACATCCACATTCCTCGCCACGACCTTGCGCGCACGACACGACCTGCAACTCGCAAACCGATACTTGCCGCGCGGCGGGACCCGATTCTCGCACTCAGGCTCGGCGCAGACGCGCTCGGCCCGTGCGGCGGGTAACGGCCCTCTGACGGCGGAAGAGGAGTCGATGAGCACGTACGCGCGGTTGCGCGGAGGATGGGATGGGGCGCTAGGTCCCGCGGTGGACGGCTGCTCCGGACGCACGCTGGACGGCTGCAAGGTCTCGTCAACCACAATGCTCAGTACAGTAAGCAGAACGCTCACGCTTAGCGCTCGGCGTGATGCTACGCTGGCAACTCTCGCGGGAGGCTTCGACGCGCTCCTCCCGTAGACATTAACGGGCACGAGGGACATTCGTACGGGCGCGGCGGGCAGAGCCGCGGGCGCGCTCTTCCTCGGTCGCCCACGAGGCTTCTTGACCGGCTCCTCAGCCTGGGCAGCCGGACGTTCGCCACCATCCCGCAGCGAGCCGACCGCAGGCAGCGAGATCTTCCGTGGCCGTCCACGGGGCCTCTTGACTGGCTCCCCGACCTGCGCAACTGGACGCTCGCCACGAAGCTCTGGGCCGACGCCAGGCAGGGTGCTCTTCCGTGGACGTCCGGGCCCTCGCTTCACGACCTCAACGTCCTGCGTGGCTTGCCGTTGGTGATGGTCGTTCGCGGTCGGAGGTAAGGGATTCTTTCGTGGCCGACCCGGTGACCTCTTGACGACCTCGCCCTCCTGAATTAGTCATTAGCAAAGCATGACACCATTGAGATTGCCCTGAGCTGACCATAGGCAACGGATGCTTGCGTGGCCGGCCTACCGGTTTCTTCACTACCGCACTTTCCTGTATAGCTATCAAGTCAACAAAGGACGACATTGAAATTAGATTTTGCTGACCAGAGGGAGCGGATGCTTTCGTGGCCGTCCCGGACCCCTCTTCACGACTTGGCTTTCCTGCATGCGTTCACCTTGAGCGTCGGCAGCTTCGAAACAGCATATGCACTTACTGGGGCCAAGGGGTGTATGCGCGGACGCCCTCGGGGCCGTTTCGGTGGACCCGGGGGAAGCGCAAAGCTGGGTTGGTACGTGGTCGCAGCGTGCGGCGTCGCGGCGAGACTTTGTGAGATGGCCTCTGCGATCGAGAGCGCGGCCGGCGGACGACCGCGCTGAGGTTGGTTGCGGGTCGCGGGGACGGCGATGCGGGGGGCGGCTGCGCTTTGGCTGCGCCTGGTTGTGCTGTTGGAGATTGCGGGCACGCCGTGGACCGATGCTGCACGTTTCGTGGGAGAGACTCTGGATGCGAGACGCGTGAGGGGACGACCTCGGGGCATGCCCTCAAAGTCCTCTTCCTCCTGCCCTGCGGCGGACGTGCGTGCTCTCGGCCTCCCGCGAACGCCCGGCGTAGCTCGTCGTTGTTGAGTCATGCGCTCCGTTACGGCGTCAAAGACATCAGGGGAGATCGCGCGGGGGCGACTGCGGTTAGTGCCCCATGAAGGACGGGAGACGTACGAAGAGGCGGACTGCGCGCGCGGCAAGGGCGTCCCGTGCCGACGGGTGCGCGGCGGCGTTTCCGGTGGGATGGGCACCACGTAGTCCTCGTACGACTCTCTGTATCCGCCCTCCACATCGCCCTCGCCCTCGACGACCTCCTCCTCGGAATCGGGCACTTCGACGACCTCGGGCGAGCTGCTCCGGGTGTGGCTCCTCGCATACGTGAACGAGTCGGTTCGGATCGGCTGGGAGGGCTCGCTCATGAAGTTGGCCGAGTTTCTGCCAGGGCCGGCGGCAGGGCGGCGCGCTGGGGAGGCTGGCGTGCGTGGGAATGGCTGCAGGGCCATTTCTTGTCGCAAGAACACGTCGACGCGAGGAAAAACGACGCTGAGCGTGCCACGCGGGCACCATCACGTGTCGCGCGATCCTCCCTTGCCACATTGCTTGATATAAGCGAGAGAAGACCGCTCATTGAACACATATGCAGGTTCTGCGACGCGGGATCCTCGGCCGGGACGGGAATGGCGATGGTGAAGAGGGCGTCCAACGTGAGCTGGTACGGTGTGCGATCGTCTTGAAGGACGACGTGGGTGGCTCAGAGTACGTCTGCGCGACTTAGCTTGTACCTCACGCACGCTCACTTCGTACTTATAAGCGTCCACACTTGCACCGCCGCGGGTGAGTAATGCGACAGCAATCTGTGCTCGTACAACTGTGCATACTCACTTCCAGAAGGGCAGGTTATTGGTCATCGGATGGACGTGTCCACGGTGAGGCCGGTGCGCTGTTGTCTTACACTGTCTTCGCTCGCGTTACTGCTCGTTCGTTATCTCGCTGCAACGCCGTATTCATGCACGATAACCCGCTCACAGTGCCAAAAGCTCGAACGGCCTCCGGCGTTAAGTAAGCTTTTATCTGCACTACATTTCCCAGCTAGGTCCTCCTTGTACAGTGTGCAGCCACTCACGAAAAGAAACAAGACGTCACCACTGTTCGGACCGAAGGCCAGCGCGTGCGGTACGTACGGTGCATTTTTAGTTCAGTGCGCGCCGAGTGGCATCTGCGTGCCCCCCCTCCGGCGGTGCAGGCCGCCGACAAACGGTCAGCGTGAGTCCCGTCTCGTCTCCCGGTGTGTTCTCCCTGCGCTATCATCCACAATAGCAACTTGACGTTCGAACTGGCAGCGTCGGAGTCGGACTCGCACTGGAAGGGGTACGCGTCCACACGCGAGCCTGACTGGACGCAGCGCGCGGGACTGGTGTTCTCGATATGTGGGTGCGTCCTTCTCCGACATGCAGCTTGAGCTGCGTACAATACGCACTGTATCAGGAGCAGAATGACGTATAGCTGCGCGTGTTCCGTCCGTGGGCGTATCCATATGGTCTACTCGGTGAGCGTTCATGGAAATGTTTTATGCTGATCCTAAAATATTCTTCATGCACTGCGCGATAAGGCTCAGCATCTTCGCGCGAATTATTTTCCTGCACGGTTGGATTGGTTTTTTGTGAGATGTGTAAGTGCTGATCTGACCGCCTCATTGGGTCTTACCTCATGCGATTGCAGTTTATCTAGCTGAATGTAGCCGAGATGCTGGATCAAATTATGAAGCCCTCGTGCTATGCAATCCACGATTGTTCAATTCAAGACAGCATTCTGCCATCCCTGATAATCCTTTCTTACATCGACTCTCCTTCTCTCTTCTCTGTCTATATCCACTCAGCGCTCCTTCCCCCTCCCTCCCTCTCCCCACCTGCTTCTCTATGGGGTCCAACATGTACAAGTGAATCACGAAGAGGAATAAGTTATGCGTAGCGAAGTAAATCGCGAATTAAAGGGTGCCGGAACGGCGACACGTGCGACGAAGGTCGAATGAGCGCACGCGTAATCGAGACTGGCTCTGGAAAGCATGCTCAGCAACTATGCTCCAGTGCGAAGCATCCAATGAACGTACCTGAGGAGCGAGTGGAAGAGATGCGGGTGCAGCGCGTCATGCGATGGTGCAGGACCCGCTCACGAAGCCGTTTGAGGTGTCGTAGTCTGCAGGCACGTTCGAGCTCTGCGACTCGGGCTCCTCAGCCGGGACGGGTGCGGCGATGGTGAAGAAGGCGTCCATTGTGGATGGATGCGCGACGGATGACAAGGCTCCCGGAGGGTGAGGCAGGTGGCTCAGAGGGCGTCTGAATGACTTCGCGCGCACCTCAGGTACGCTGGCTACGTACTTATACTCGTTTGCGCAACGCACCAGGGTGAATAATTCGATCATGATCAGTGCTGAAACAATTGTGCATTGCATTTCCAGAAACGCGGACCATCGGCCACCGGGTGGGCCAATGCGCCGTGAGGTCTATGCGTTATTGTCTTGCACTGTCCTCGCGCGTGTTAACGCTCGCTATTGATCCGCGAGTGTAGAATCACTCACGCGTGCGGTGTCTGCGCTATGCTCTGGATTGCGCTACGCATGATGGTCCCTCATTCCTCTCTCGCCGCGGCGCTGCATTTATGCTCACAGCGCCAGAGCACCAACCACCTCCGTCATTGGATCGCACATGCGCTATTGTCTGCGCGGAGAAACGTCAGCTGGGTCCTCCCGTGCAGTCACCCACGAAAACAAAAGACATGCATCCCGCCTGGACTGGGAAGCAATGTGTTCAGTGTGTGCCTTGCGTTCTTGATTCAGCGGTTTGCCTTCCGCCCTATTGTTTTCCATGGGTCACGTGATACCTTGGATGGGGAAGGACCGACGGTTGTAGGTGCTTGTGTCGTGCATTCGTTCATGTGGGAGCGTGGCTTATGCTGTGGGGCCACCTTGTGTGTCTTTACATAATGACCTGAAGGCCGCCCGATGACCGAGACTGACCGAAGTGCACTGACACGCCCAGTGGCCCGACCTCCGATCGCAATGCAAGAATTGTATATTGGCTTTGAACGTTGAACGTTGAGCGCTGAACGCTTGAGCATTAGCACGACAACTGTTTGTTCGCCTTTAAATCTTCATTTAAAAGCTCAGAAATGATGACAATTCCAATAAGAACGTAGATCCGTCGCGAAGAGAACGTGCAAGTCAGTGATCGTTGCCTCTCATTCCACGCCGATGGAATCTCTCGGGCAATATCAACTGATGCGCGCGATTCTAGAAATTTCGAAAGTATCGATATACTTTCGGTTGGAACATTAACTGGACGATAGATTCAGATGTAAATGGATATGAATGTGGCTGTGCGCTCAACCACACACCTTTTTGATCGGTTCGTGCACAGGTCGCAGGCGCTTTGTGGCCACATCAGTGCCATGAGTCACCCTCGACCCAGCCCGCACCCTGTTGCATGTGTCTTCCTGCTACCAGCTTCGCAGACGGCATAACCTGTATTTTGTTAACGGGTACGTTCATTGTATGCTACCGAGCTTATACTAAAGGCGGATGCGAACTGAATAGCACGTGTCCAGGCCGGGCCGAAACATTCACGTTCACGAATAGCGCGCAGAGTCACTCGAGCCGACGGGATGGCACATCGTTCACAGGGGGACGATACACTCCTTTCTCCAAGCCAGGAGCGTGCCGAGCTCGTATCCGATGAAGACTTCGCACCTCCGATCTCTACTGTCCCGCCTGAGATCCTGGAGGACATATTCCTTCAGCTCGCCCAGGATACACGCACAGATTCGACTCCGCCCTATGCATGGATCAAAGTCTCGCACGTCTGTGCCGACTGGCGTGCCATCGCACTGAACTGCGCCAGCCTCTGGACCGACGTTCAGTTCGTGGTGAGCTCCGAATGGCTCACCGAGGTCCTGGCACGATCCAAAGGGCTGCCGTTAACCATCCGTCTATCCATTCGCGGAGATGAATATGCCGATACGGAGACAGTGCTTGCGGCTATGATATGCCAAGAGCTGCACAGAACGCGTAAAATTGACGTGACTGCTCCATCTCGGAGCATGAGGAAGCTGATGTGTCTTATCGACAAACCAGCACCTCTTCTAGAGTCACTTTGTTTGAGAAACAGCAGCTTCAGCGCGCGCGTGTGTGATTCACTTCCGCCCTTGTTAAGCGACGCCAACGTCAAACTACGGTCCTTGCGTCTCGAGCGACTCTCCCTAAATTGGCGTAAACTGAACATCCCCTTCTTGGATAGACTCGATATCATGAGTTGCGGGAATGTCATACAATCTGCGGCTAGCTTCCGGAACTTCGCGGCGGCACTCAGAAACTCGCCCATGCTGGAGACTCTAACGATATCTGAGGAGAACCTTCTCTCGCCACGTCCCGACCGCTTACCGATACGCAGCTTAACCATACCTTTGTCTCGTCTCCGTAGTCTGTCAATACGCACGCAGAAGAGCGAGGACTGTGCGTACATCTTACGCCAGCTGTCGATCCCCAGAGCATCATCTATCTCCCTCGCATTTTCTCCTCCTAGCGCCGACGACGCGGAATCGACCGCATCTCCCCTTGCCCAGTTCCCATTTGCACACGAGCTACGCACTATGGACATACTGTGCAGAACGGACGCTCAAACCCGACGAGATCAGGAGAGGTTGGCTGCTCGGTCTGGCGACGGTGGCCCGCCAGTCTCGCTGATCATCGAACTGCCATACGAGAATCGGTCAGATCATAAAATCGGCGAGCTCTGCGGGCACCTTCCGCTGACAAGCATCGAGAAACTATCCTTCAGCGGCATCCGAGTTCCGCATACACATCACTGGATCGAGAGCTATTGGAATCTACGGAGCGTGAGGGAGCTGACTGTGGACAGGTACGCGGCGTCTGCTCACCTGCTTTATGCCCTCACACACTGCGAGCAATCTCATTCTTCATCCCGCGCTCATCCACCCACGCGAATGCTGTTCCCGGACCTGCATGTGCTTCGCTTTCAGGGGGTAGTCTTTGCCCGTGTGCAGAGCGATTTCAATCGTTCTATCTCGATCGAACATCTCACGGACTGCCTGCGAAAGCGCGGCGTCCGCGGTGCACCGATCAAGGAGCTGCGCTTTAGAAACTGCTCGGAGATTCTCCAAGAAGATATTCAGAGATTCAAAGAAATCATGGAACTGGTTGAAATCGAGGTACGTGCACTTGCCTTTGCAGAGTCATCACTCATCTGATGTTGTTCCAACAAGTGATTTGATTTTATACTGGCAACCCGATATTTACGAGGATGAATTGGCGGCGTTTGCGACGTGACAGTATTCATTGTTTCCGATACTGTTTATCCTTTGATTCCTTCGATCTTGCGCGTTCGCGGTGCTGCATGTTGTTCGTCTGTGGTGTCGCTCATCATTATCTGTCATGATCTGTCAACGTTGAAGACCGCGGAATTGTAATGCTCCATTATGACGCAATGAAACTTGCTTGTAACGCGGGTATCGCACCTGCGCCTGGAGCGCTCAATCTGTGGTACCTTTTGACATGCGATAACGAGAGCGGTGATTATTCAACTCCTGAAAGATCTGCACGGACGTGATAGTTTGTCAGCTCCGATCGAGACGACGTTTTTCCTAGAATCATGAAAGGCCTCGCAGGTTGCTTCAATAAGGGCAACGTAGAAGAGCATGAGTAATCGTTAGATCCCGTTAGACAGTATAATCCGCAACCCATGAATCTTCAAAACAAGGTGAGCATTCTTGGAACTTCTTGCATTGCGAGGGCCATCTTGACCTAAATCGATATCGCAGTGCCGGGTCAGGGCTCAACAAGATGACCATAACAAGATTCCCAGGATCTCTAATTGTATCGGTCCGTGAACAGGCCTCAAGTGCTGTGTGAGCACTTGAGCCTCATCCCGTTAGCGCTCTATACTCTCTGCTTCACGCACCCATTTTCACAGTCGACATGCCAATAGTACGGTGCTTTTGATGGCTGTTCACTCTCCTTGATCTAATGCAGACACCCATATGACCGAGCAAACACTCCGTCGACAAAGTATGCAGAGTGCTTTGTTACTCTGTATGGCATTGACGATCCGCTGGCACTATTAGACTCGGCCGCACTACCTTTCAGTGATTTTTGAGGTTTCGCAGTTCATAGATGGGCTGAACGCCACGGTATACCTGAAAAATGTGAGAAAATCAAATATAGATGCATGTTCTCCCTCAGCACACCTATAGTATGCGGTTAAGATGCCGGCGGTCTCATTAGTAGATGGCCGATTGACCAGTGCCTTGTTCCATAAGCGAAGTGCTTACCAACGTCTTGTTTGGTGAACATTCCTAACTTGTGGAGGAGAATCATTCGCGCACCGACTTGGTCTGATGGCATCAAATAAGTAGTCCAAGTGCAATTGTCGTGCCACAATAAGTGTGGATACCTCCTGTCTGTCGCATCTGGTCTTCCCTTGAGAATAAAGCCATGAATAACATTAAGATATGAGGTCTGATGCATGAGAGTACAAAGTTTGAGCTTCGTAGTATCACGCCACAAGTCGCGGCAATGAAAACAATGTTGATGTTGCTAAATCACAAGAACGCATAACCTGTTGTCATAGTGTGGCGATGAGTTGAACTCACCGCCATTTCAACCTCAAATCATGATCATGCCCGCGAGATCTAGCCGAGTCCCGTCGCGGATATGTCACAATTTGTCACGGAAAGTGACAGACGCGTAGGTGGCTGCCAGTGCCAGCAAGACTCGGCAAGAGCCCCCATCCGACGCCGACTCAGCTGGTCTAGTCTACGACTTCGCGAGCATCATGTATGGTTTCCTCTTCGCAAGAAAAACGCATAATTGTTTTTGTCTTGAACACACGTTCCCTCGACTATGTCTGCATGGACAGCTGGCGGAGAACTTAGGCGACTTTCTCGCTGCTCGCAATTCTTCCGGACAAGTTACAGGCTATCACCTTTCCTTTGCGGTTACGTCTGGTCTCACCCGTGGTGCTCTGGCAACCTCTGGTGCTTGTGTAACGTGCATTTTCAACGATTGCCGGCATCGCCTTCGAAACATAGCTTATGTGGGTTCTTCTGAGGAGTCTGGTTCAAAAACGAACGAGATGATGCAAAATGCCACATACACCAACTGCGTGAGTGACTCGATGTGAAAGAGAACAAACACCGCCTGATGTATCATGCCGGCCTCAATGCCACATCGCATTGGTCTAATATACATACTGTACTCTTTCATGAAGAATACTACTTCCAACTTGGGGATTCCGCTTCGCGCTTCCTCTTAATCAGGCCCTCCGTGGTCATTATGGGATGCCATAGGTACGTTCTCCGTCTTTATGAGATGTTCCCTTGACCATCTCTCCACATCTTCCCACTTCCTGCATTCTGCCAATACGTCCATCTTCGGTACCGTCCTCCTATTCACCCGTTCATTCCAGTGCCAAATCATTGGATTGATATCCACGACGCACATCAGCGTCTGTCGTAGTACATCGATGCAATGATCAGCATGCTCCTGTGCGACTTTGCCATCGGTGTCAGGTGAATTGTAATCTTCTGGATGCAGTCGCTTGCGCAGTAGATTCTGTGGCAAATTCTTCTGTCAGTCGAGGATCAGGTGTGATGAGACACATGCTAATCAAGCAATGTAACTGGTGGTACACCTCAAACATCAGCACGTATTGGCCGTCCTGCCCCGGGACAGGGAGTATTTCTTCCGCGAGCATCTTTGCTGTGCTGTGAGGAATCCGAGCGACTCCATCTGCTTCAAACAGTAAGTACGTGATCATGAGGCCATGCTAACATTGCGACGTACATCTGTACAGATCATCCCAGTTGTCATCCGCCTCCTGAGACGTACCCATGTACTTCGTAGGAGATTTATACATCGATGGACTCCATCGACGGATTTCGTACCCAACTATGCCTTGCAAGGGAGCCATCGAAAGCCTCTTAGGGGCTGATATATGGAACGAGGGAAGTTTGGAGTACTCATAATACGCGTAGGGAGGCTGATGTGAGTCCAGCCAGCCAGAGATGATGACGCTGACAAGAACTTGCATCATGATGGCGATGACGAGCAACACTTCGCGTCTTGAAAGACTAAGGCAACATGCTGTCCTGCCATAAGTATAGCATACATCGCCCCTGTCGCTGTATGCGTCCTCGGGTCGCATCGTCCCTGATGCGTTGCACGTCTTAGGCAAGTGCTGAAAGTGAGCTCTCTGGTTAGCATACAGCAATAGCACCACATGTTTGACTATGGCTAGACTGAAGCGCGCGTTTTCCGAGCTTGTACTCCGGAATTTGACGTCGCAGGGAAGTTCAATCATGGGGCATAAACGTAAGCGCTCTTTTTGTATACCCTCATTGACATCGGACGTTATCAAATACTCATCCTGGCCTTCCATTCATAAGGCGTTTGTGGACTTAGATGCGCTGTTAGCGCGATTTATTCTACATTCTACATCGGTATCACATGCTTATAAATATGTAGGTGAGTACCCGGCGTTTACCAGGCCCGAGATGCATAACTAACACCATGAGCATTACACGTGGTGATCAATGTACAATGCTTGACGAAAGCGGCTGCCTTGAAGTCATGCACCGAAATTGCGAATATTCAGTGAAAGAAACAGGCACGTTGTGCAACGTCATCTCATCCCTCGCCCCGCTAATACTCGCGATGCTCTGTCGCATACCAAACGGATAACTCGAACCGATTTTACCGGGGAGGGGGGGCATGCTCTAGGCATCTCGTCGTATTGGAAAGTCAACGTTTCTTTATCGTTCAATACCGAAGAGAAGAGATCATTCCGTTCATGAGACATGAGAGCGAAGCTTACCGTTATCTCTCACTTCGTTATCTAAATCCGTCATTGCAGGATATTTGCAATAGCTCTACGTTGCTTCGCATATTCTATTCCTCCGATTGTCGGACACGAGGGTGTTATGTCTTTATACCTCCTGACCTCCGTCCCTCAGAGAAGGAGGTATTTTGTTGTCTGCCTAGGGGAGACAAGGTGTTATGCAATCTGGGATAAGGTAGCGTACTTCTGGGGCGAGAAACTCGAGAGTATAGTATCTGTGTGTCGGTACGAAGGTCTCGATGTTTCTTGAGATTGATCGTTGACAGGTGACCAATTCGGAACTTGGAAGCAGCAAAAGAAGTCGGCACGCGTATATATATGTCACTCATCACACAGTGCTTCAGTTCCAATATTGAATGATGGTGAGTATGGTCGGCCAAAAATTATCACCGGATTGCCCTCACCGACGAACGCTCAAGAGCACCCCCGAGCCAATAAAGGCGGCCAGGGAAGGGACCCAACGAGCATTTCCCGTTTGCAATGCCTCGCAAACTCCCCTTTGATCTCACCCAGTCCACCATCGTCGTACGTCTCCAGCCTTTTATCTTGTCCGCATGTCACTGACTTGCTATCTATCTAACCCATCCACAGAAAGGCGCAGAGCTCGCCCACCTCGCTGAGCGGCCGCTCCCCAACGCGCCCGATGGTGAATACGACTATGAGTCTCTCGCGACGGGCGAGAAGCTTGGGCCAACGACCGTGCGCGAGCACTCGCGCTTCTTCACCGTCGCTTCCGACATCCAGGGCGCCCTCGAGCGCGGGAACATCGTCTCTGACCCCCGCGCGCCCGAAGCCGTCTTCCAAGCGATCACGAGCCCGGAGGCGATCGACGACCGCAAGGGTCTTTTCGCCGGAGGCCTGGCGGCCATTACGAAGCTGCCTCCCGGGAAGCTGCAGGATGACTTGAATGATAAGATCATCACGGTGTTGTATGAGACGCTCGCGCATCCGCCTGCGACGTTCATGGACGACGAGTATCGGTTTAGAAAGGCCGATGGCAGTGGTAATAATGTGACAATTCCTGATCTGGGACAGTCTGGGAGGCCGTATGCGAGAAGTGTACAAGGAAAGCACCCTTTGCCGGCGAATTTGTTGCCTGATGCAGGCTTGGTGTTTGATACTCTGCTCAAAGCTCGTGATGTGAGTGTAATCCACCTTTGATTTATTACGCCCTATGTTGATTAAATCGTGCAGTTCCAACCCCACCCTGGCCGAAATTCGTCTCTTACCTTCGCCTTCGCGTCTATCGTCACCCACTCCCTCTTCCGCACCGACCCTGCCGACTGGAACAAAAACAATACCACGTCCTATCTCGACCTTTCGCCTGTCTATGGCACGAACCAGATCGAACAGGACCTTGTCCGCGACAAAGCACAGGGCCGGGGCCTCCTCTACCCCGATACATTCTCGGAGGACCGGCTTCAGTTCTTGCCACCCGCAGCGAGCGCTCTTCTCGTGATCCTCTCCCGAAACCACAACGTGAGCGCGATATCTCGGCTGTTTCCAATTCATGGTACTGATAGATGATAATCTAGTACATTGCCGACATGCTCCTGAAGGTCAACGAGAAGAAGAAATGGAGAGACCCGGCGACGCTGAGCGACGCCGAGCGCGCGAAGCAGGACGAGGAGATTTTCCAGACCGCGCGGCTCGTCAACTGCGGGCACTTCATGGCGCTCATATTTGGCGACTATGTCGCGGGCTTCCTCGGTCTCGGGCGCGACGGCTGCACGTGGAGCATGAACCCGTTCGACCCGATCCACAAGGAGGACGGCGACCTCGTCCAGCGCGGGACAGGCAACCACGTCTCGGTCGAGTTTAATGTCCTCTATAGGTGGCACCCGACGACCGCCCAGGAGGACATCAAGTGGATGGAGGATGAATTCGGGAAGGTCTTCAGGGGGAAGGCGCTTGATAAGCTCGAGCTGAGTGACTTCAAGGAGGCGGCAAGGGAGCTTCTCACCAGCACGCACGAGTCTGAGCCTCGGAAGAGGACGTTCTCTGGGTACGTCTGTCCTCCTCCCTTAGCACACAATATTTAAGTCTCTGCCCCTTTAGGCTCAAACGTCAGCAAGATGGCTCGTTCTCTGATGACGACATCGCTAAACTCCTCCACGACGGCACTGAGAAGGTCGCGGGCGCGTACCGTGCTCGCGGCACTCCAGCTTGCCTGCGTGTAATTGAAATCCTGGGCATTGAGCAAGCCCGCAAGTGGGGCGTCTGCACCATGAACGAGTTCCGCGAATTCCTGGGCCTCAAGCGTTTTGCGTCCTTCGAGGAATGGAGCACCGCGCCAGGCATCGCAGATGCCGCTCGCAGGCTCTACGGGCACATCGACAACCTCGAGCTCTACCCCGGTCTGCAGGCTGAGGACTGCATGCCTCTCGGTCCAGGCAGTGGAATCTGCTGCGGGTACACGATGACGCGCGCCATCCTCGCCGACGCGATCTCGCTCGTGCGCGGCGACCGGTTCTTCACGACGGACTACACGCCCGAGGCGCTCACGAGCTGGGGCTTCCAGGACTGCGTGCGCGACCCGTCCAACGGCGCGTTCGGCGCGGCGCTGCCTAAGCTGCTCTTTCGCCACCTCCCGCGCCACTACCCGGCGAACAGCGTCTATGCGCTCTTCCCGTTCTTCACGCCCGAGATCACGAAGACGAATCTCACGAAGCTTGGAATTGCGGATAAGTATGATTATAGCCGCCCCGTCGCTCAGCCCATCCCGAAGGTCCTCAATACACTCACGGGCATTCGACATGTCTTTGCGGATCCGACGAAGTATATTCAGACCTACACACAGGACATGACAATGCTCACGCGCGGATATGGCTTCATGCTCGTGTTTGACGAGAAGGAGAAGCACGACAAGGACCGTGCGTTCTGCTGGCACGCACTTGTGCCGGATGCACAGACAATGCAGGAGTATACGCAGTGGTACAAGCAGATGACGATCAAGCTTTTGAACGAGAAGAATTTTACGTATGATGGTGTTCCGGGAACCTATGTGGACATCATTCGGGATGTCATCAACCTCGTATCGGTCCACTGGGCTGCAGACAAGCTCGTACGTGCAGCAGCTGTTTGGTTTTTTACATCGAGCTGACTTCAATCTATTTAGTGTGGTATTTCGCTCAAGACAAAGGCGACTCCCCACGGCATCTTCACTGAGCAAGAGGTGTACACGATGTTCTCTGTGCTCTTCATGTGTGTCTTCGAGAACGTCGCGCCTGAGCACGGCTGGACGTTGCGTGCGGCTGCCACTCAGATCGGTACTATCGTAAATGGTATCATTCAACAAAGCATCAACGAGGCTGCACCGCAGACTGCTACTGTAAGGTTCACGCTACTTCTCTAAATGCTCCAGAATGTTGAACTTTTTGTCATAGAACCCTTTCGTCGGCCTGTTTGCAACCGTGAAGAACTTCATCGGCCAAAAGAAGGAATGCGCGCCCTTCCTTTCCCGCCTCGCCGCCTCAGGCCGCCCCATTGACGAGCTCGTCGCCTGCGTCATCGGCCTCGCCGTCGGCTCCTCCGTCAACTTTGCCCAAGCCGCCGCGCAGGTCGTCGACTTCTACCTGCGCGAGGACCGCCAAAAGGAGTGCGCGGCGCTCATCAAGGCATGCATGGCCCCGGACTCAGACAAGAACGCGACGGAGCTTGTGCGCGGGTACGTGCGCGAGGGAATGCGCCTCAACCCGCAGTTTGGAGGCCTGTTTAGGATCGCGACGGCGGATGATGTCGTACCCCAGGGCCAGGGCTTCCAGCCCATGCAGGTGAAGAAGGGTGATATGCTCTTCGCGAGCTTCAAGAATGCGCATCTCAACGTATGTCTCCTTATCTCATCAACCCTAATCCTCTCTCTGACAAAGGAATTGAATCCAGCCCGACGACTTCCCTGACCCTGAGACCGTGAACCCGCGCCGACCAAAGTCGAGCTACAACATCCAGGGCGCAGGCTTCCACGGCTGCCCAGGCGTCGACTTCGTCGGGGACACCATCCCGGAGATGATCCGCATCATCTTCCGCCTGCCTGGCCTGAGGCGCTCGCCAGGCCCTGCGGGCGTCTGCACGGGCTTCGCGCTGCACCAGTTCGATACGGATAACGACATGTATATCACGAGCACGGGGAATGTAAGCCCCTGGCCTGGATCGTTGCAGGTTGTGGTGAGTAGAGGCCTTCCTGATCCGACGGGAAGATGCAGTTGCTGATTTCAATACTTGTAGTTCGACGAATCGCGCTAATCACAAAAGCTTTTCTTACTGTTGAGTTCATGCTCTATCTGCACCCTCACACTGTTTTGTAAATCACTGTCATGTCCATTACTGCTATGTTCATACGATTTGTCATCATATTTTGGGAGATGCATCTCGCTACTTCTTTCTCCCATTTGGTGTCCCGCTCCCAAATGTTGGTGTGTTACTCTCGAAAAATTGATTCACAGTGAAAAATGGCCTCAAGAGAGAAACGACGAATGAGTCAGTCAGCTTGATAGGCTCACTTCTTGCTTACAAATATCGGCCAATTCGTATTATGCTTGGGATCGAAACAAGCCCTGAGACAGGATGGAGGTGAGGAAAGTCAAAGACACAAGACTGTCGCGGCGACGGGCATCGCATGTGTGCACAGGGTTCTGCTGACGGTTAACAGCCGTTTTTCGCTAAGCAGAACGCTTCTCGATGAGAGTATAGCAAGGCTATGGAGGCGACTTCGAGAGTGAAGACGCATTCAGGACTCTGGGCACCTACATAGATCACCATCTGCCGTGACTCGTGTCCTCCCAGTCGTGGCCATGTCGGCCGACCCAACGCAGAAGGAGCCCTCTCCCTACCCAAGCATCCGCCGTATCGTCACTGGACACATGGAATCTGGGCACTCGACGTTCGAATCCATCGACGAGGTCGAGCCGTACTTCTTCAGGTGCTCGGAGACCATGTTCGCCGACCTCTTTTGGGTGGATAGCAACCGCCCAGACATATCTAAGCCATGTCAAGATATTTCCAAGGAGCACCAAGGCGAGCTTTGTGGGAAGGAAGGGTTGGTGTTGAGGATCATTGATACGCCTCCTGGTCCAGGCGGCAAGTCGGTGAGTCGGCTGTCCGCCCAATGAATGCTGCAAAGTCGCTCAATGCTCATCCGGCACTTGCTGTGATCACCTGGCCGAGCCATTCCACCGCACGGAGACGATCGACTTCGTCATCGTGGTGAAAGGAGAGATCACGCTCGTGCTCGACAACGACGAGAAACGGGTGTGCCAGCCCGGGGACGTCGTGGTCCAGCGCGGTAAAATTCACGCCTGGCATAACGATTAACGAGGGCACCGAGTGGGCGAGGATGTACGCTGTCATGCTAGGTGAGAATCTCTTCGCCTTTTGATTCCGCGAGATAACGCCGGTCAAGGTTGGAGATCAAGCTTTCAAGAATTGAGGGGGGAGTTCAGAGCCTAGCGTAGAGAGCAAAGTACTGCCAGTGGTGTTATGTAATACAAGGGTTGTCGCCGCCTTCAGCTCGTTAGTCCGCAACACCCACAACTTCCGAGGAGTCATTTCAAACTTATAATCGCGTCGCTACTCTTCTATCCTTGCACACAATTTATGGCTAAAGTCTCCTCGTAGACTTTCGAAAGTTTAGTGGTCTCAGGTAGCCTTGAATAGTCAAAGAACGCGCGATAGCGTCAAAGACAATGAAAAGTTTGAACGCGCGTGGGGCGGCCTGCGTGGGTGTGTCCCTGCAGGCCACGTGATCGTGTCTCAAACGTTAGAGCGTTCAGCCAATCACTCAGAGTCAGCGCTCAGTGTTCCTCTGCTTTTCAACTCATCCCATTAACGAGCGAATTGCCGTTTAATGGTATACTGTAACGACACAGCACTGTAACGACGCGACATTTATTTTTGAGGCCATTGACACCTAGTACTGCGGCCTCAATTACCAGGAGCGTTCCTTCGGTCCAGCCTATGGCGTGAGTGCTACTTCCCAGTCCTCAAATTCGGTGAGATAAACACTTTGTTCCTCTGAAACGCAATGCCCTCATTGCTAGGCTCCGACTGCAGAATGCGCGACCCAGATGTGCCTTCCGTATATGCGCCACTAGAGGCCCTTCGCGTCCTACCACTGGATTCGCATGACATACGTCTGCTCCCACCGGCTCTCGGTTGTGCTTCAGTGCGCAGTGCCATGGATCCCCTCATAGTGACTCACAGCACCGACTTGCAGGCGGAGTTTCTCGGGCACAGAAGAACAGTTCCGTTGGTCGTTTCTGCGGACCTATCGTGGAACACGGGACCGTTGAAGGTGCTGAACGTCATACTTTAAGAGATTCAAACCGGTCTGTATGTGCGCCCGCGCCCGAGATCAAGATGCTCCTGTCGCTTTCTAGCCGCCTCTCTGGATGCCTGACGCTTCGTAAGCTCAAACACATTTTGGCCGGTTCTGATCCATTCTTCACCTCTTTATAGGTCCTCATTCCCTTCGAGACAGTCGAACTCGATGCTGACGCTACAACAGATTCGCGCACGGCCTCCACACGCTCCGCATATCCTGTCAAATCAAAGGCCGCGTTGACTTTCTGAAGGGGATGTCCACACCATTTTTGTCCTCTATCGCATTGTGGCTCGTTTACAATGCGAGATACGTCCGCCCGCTCTGCAGCAACACGCATGACAAGCTTACCGCTATAATCAACTTGCCCACCATTGATGTAACCGAAATCCGTACGGCTACGTGCACATTCTCGGGTACGCCGAAGGGGAGAACGAGAGAGCATATAGCACGCGCTAATCAATGTTCAATCGTGATATAGGAGGCTATACTCGTGTCATAACATCCAATCTTCGGAACTCATACTAGTACTTTGTTCTCCGGGTAGTTGGAAAGCACCGCGCACAGCTCCGCACCAAAACTCGCACCACATCCTTTCGGGCCGTACACTCCCAACCTCCAAACTGTCATAACGAGAAACGGCACCGCTGCAAGCCATCATGCGTGTCTGGTTACATGTGGTGAACCAAGCAGCACTATAGCACCTCGCGAGCTCGGTAGATTACAATTGGAATAGATGGTGCAAACAACGAGCACGGAAGCACGACAGCAAACCTTCCAATCCCATGCAGGAGAATCGACTCAAGCAGCCAACACCAAGCCTCATTGATCATCCTCAAATTATTGACAACCTCACCCCCACCACCATCGCACCCACTTCCCCGCACCCAACGCCCACGCCCACACCGCACCCAACGCCCACGCCCACACCGCACCCCCGCGCCACTCTCCTTATCCACCGTATCCGCATCATCATCAGGCGCACCAGCATCCACCCAATCTCTCCACGCCGCATACACCTTAACAACAAACGCCTGCCCCTCAGGCGACGACCCGCCCTGTACGCTCCAGTCATACGGATCCACCACCGGAGCGAGCCACATCTCCGGCGAGAAGTGCAGTTGGCCGGCCCCGACATACGCGTTCGGCATCGAGACGGCATGTGAGGAGGTTTCGGTGGAAGTGGCAGAGGAAGAGGACGAGGAGGAGGACGATATGCTGGAATAGCTGTACGACGTCGTCTCTGCATAGAACGACGACGCAGACACGTTATACGACGACCACGCCGCCGACGAGTGACTTGCTCTCGCGCTCGCGCCCGCGCCCGTCGCAGAAGGGATAAACGACGTCGCGGGCCCAACACCATTCCCCGTTCCCAACGCCTCATACCCCTTCGCGCGGCCGCTCCGCATGTGCAGCATACGTGTCCACGCCCTCGAGCGCCGCGAGCCGGTACACGGTCGACGCGAGCAGCGCCGTGCTCGACGCGTCGAGAAACGTGCTGCTGTTGTTCGCGTAGTTGTGGAAGAGCGCCGTGTTCCAATTCTGTGTGGAAAGTAAGAAATGGGCAGGTGTGGAATGGAGGTCGAAGGCGCTCACGAATGCTCGTACATCCCGTCGTGGATCTCTTCTATCCAGCCTTTAAGGTCGTCCATCTCGTCCTGCATGTCGTCCGCAAAGTCAGAGTGCTTGATCATCGCCAGCACGTGTAGCTTCCCCGCTGCCGCCCATCCATCGCCTGACACCCCTTATATCGCGACAGACTTCACGCACCCGTCTCATGGCGCTCTGGCAAGCTCTGATGTTTCTTGGTCCTTGCGTAACGTGCATTCTCAACGATCGCAGGCATCGCCTTTGAAACGTACCCTATGTGGAATCTTTCGAGGAGTCTACTTCATAGGCGGTCGACGTGCTGCAATATGCCACATCACATAGGTCTAAGGCACACTCTACTACTTCATGAAGAATGCTGCTTCCAACCTGGGGATTCCGCTTTGCGCCTCCTCTTAATCAGACCCACCGTGGACAGCATGGGATGCCATGGGTACGTTGTCCGTCTTTATGAAATGTTCCCTTGACCATCTCTCCACATCTTCCCACTTCCTGCATTCTGCCAATACGTCCAACTTTGGTACCGTCATATTCACCCGTTCATTCCAGTGCCAAATCATGGGATTGATGTCCACGACGCACATCAGTGTCTGTCGTAGTACATCGATGCAATGATCAGCATGCTCCTGTGCGACTTTGTCATCGGCGTCAGGTGGATCGTAATCTTCCGGATGCAATCGCTTCCGCAGTAGATTCTGTCGCAAAATCTTATGTCAGTCGAGGATCAGGTGTGATGAGACACACGCTAACCAAACAATGCAACTGATGGTATACCTCAAATGTCAGCATGTATTGGTCGTTCTGCTCTGGGACGGGGAGCGTTTCTTCTGCGAGCATCTTTGCTGTGCTATGAGCAACCCGAGCGGTCCCATCTGCCGCAAACAGTGAGTACATGGTCGCGAGGTTGCACTAACCTTGCGACATACATCTATACAGATCATCCCAGTTGGCATCCACCTCCTGAGATGTACCCATGTACTTTGTCGGAAATTGGTATGTCGATAAACTCCATCGACGAGTTTCGTACCCAACCATGTCTTGCAAGGGAGCTATCGAAAGCCATTAGGGGACTAGCATGTGGAACGAGGGAAGGGTGAAGTATGCACAATACACGTTGGGAGGCTGACGTGAGTCCAGCCAGCGCGAGACGATGATGCTGACAAAAACTTGCACCGTGATGCCGATGATGAGCAACGCTTCGCGCTTCGAAAGGCTGCAACATGCTGTCTTGCCATGCCTATAGCGTACATCGCCCCTGTCGCTGTATGCGCCCTCGGGTAGCGGCGGCAACATTGTCCCCAGTGCTTTGCACGTCTTGGAGAAGTGCGAAGAGTGACTAGTGGGACTAGTTAGAACACAGCAACAACGGCTAGACCTGAAGCGCACGTTTTCCGAGCTTGTACCCCGGAATTTGACGTCTCTGATAAATCTAATACTGGGGACCAAACGTAAGCGCTATTTTTATATAACCCTCAAAGATATCGGTCATGTCAAATACTCAGCTTGGCCATCAAGTCCGTTTAGTAAGGCGCTTGCGGACTTCGATGCACTGTTAGCGCAAGCCACTCTACATTGGTATCAGATGTTCTATATTACGTGAGTACCTGGCGTTTACCAGGCCCGAGATGCATAACTGATACCGTGAATATTACACGTGGTGATCAATGTACAACGCTTGAATAAAGCGGCTACCTCGAAGTCATGCACTAAAAATTGCGAATCAGTGAGAGAGCTAGGCACGTTGTGCAACGTTATCTTATCCCTCGTCACGCCAATACTTACGATTATGCCAAACGGATAATTGGAACCGAGATTATGGGGCGGGGGGGGGATGCTGCAGGTATTTCATCACGTTGGAAAGTCAAAGGTTTGTCACTCAAGAGGTCAGGAGATATAGTTGTCCAATAGGGTTATATGAAGACATGCAGTCGGTTTTCGTCTTGCCCGAGGGTGCAATTGTCAATGATCTTGCAAAGCTTCGATCACACTGCAAACGGTCAGGCTTCTTAATATTTCAGTTTCAGAATTTATACGGCACTGCGATTAGTTCCATCGTAGATGGCTTCTAAGGTTATAAGCGAAGCTGTATATGGGGCAAATTGTCAAATTCTCTAACCATACGATGGTTCTTCGCCCATTCGTTCACGGCATCGAAGCTGCGACACAAGTGCAGCGCGCTCAACTTCGGGATGGCCACCTGCTTCTCCTCCTCCCACTCATATACCATTGGGTTGATGTCCACGGAGCACATAAGCGTCTGCCTGATCCAGTCGATGCAATGATCGGCGTGCTCCTCTGGAGTAGGCGTCAACTCTGGAGGAGAGGGACGATAATACTCCGGATGAAGCATCTTACGAAGCGCGTTCTAGTGGTAGGTGCGTACGGTCAGGAATACATCTCGTTGGATACCCAATTGTCCTGTGTTCACTCACCAAGCAATGGATTTCATGGAAGATGGCCAGGCTCATTATGACATGGTCTTCGTCCCCAGGGATCGGTGCAGATAGTTCCACCATCTTTTTTGCTTCCTCTTCGGTGATGCGTGAGATACCATCTGTAAGCCGGACGTCTGGTTCCAATAATGCTTAAGACTGGACGCGGACGAGTCGACTCACACTCGAGCAATGCATCCCACCTGGCGTCCACAGCATCAGATTGTCCCTTGTACTCAGAACCTGAATCGTTCTGGTGCAGAACAGGGTTGAAGCGGCGTACTTCGTATACGATGCTTTCTTGCGCAGGTGCTACCATCGTCATTGAGCAGATTCCTCTCAAAGACGGACGCCACGGCTCACAATAGACAAGGACGGGAGACTGAGGGACCATCGACGGCCCCATCTTGCGCATACGCTGAGATATCCCAACCAAGAGCAGAGCAGTGTTGAACAGGGTCAAAATGAGGAATGCTCCAAGAAGAAACCGATAACGGCATGTGCGTATTCTATTCGTAGTATTTCTCCTCTCTGTGATCATGTCGTCCTGACGCCCGTCGTCGACTAGCCTGTCCTCGTCCGCTGAGAGCGGTTCATACTTGATTGTTCTGCCATGCATGATGTCTGAAGCTAGGGAGTGAAAGACACAACGATGGAAAGTATGTAGCGGTGATATAGCCACGATCAGGAATCCTGACCCTTTGAGACTATCGTACTCAGGTCTTACGATAAGGCCATGCAACGAGGACCTTGACGTTCAGCGACGTCACTGAGACTCCACGCTACCGGAGAGGAGAGACCATACCGATCATGACAGCATGAGAATTGAAGTTATTATTATGTCTCACTTTACGTTTTATGCAAATGCTCATCTATCTATATCCGTCGTTGCAGGACACTTGCGATAGCTCTATGCTGCTTCGCAAGTTCTTCCGACTGTCGGACGCGAGAATGTTATGCAACCTGGGATCAAATCGCGTACTTCCCGGAGCGAGAAATGCTATTCATGTGTCAGGAAGAAGGTCCTCGGTGTTTTTTGAGGTTGACCGCTGACAAATGATGAATCTGGAAGTGGACTGTCTAGCAAAAGAAGTCGGCAAGCATATATAACTCATGATACAACGTGCTTCAGTACTCATTATCCAACGTCGTCGTCGTCTCATCTTACAATGAAGCTCTCCCTTGCCATCGTTGCCGTGTGGGTTCTCGCCGCAACCGCAATCGCCACTCCCATTTCCACGGAAGAGGTGTTCATCTCTGTCAATTGCTCACTGCTTTCCAACAAAGCTGACGGTGGACATTGCAGGAGAAGGCTGTGTCTCCCGGCTTTGAGGAAACCTGGGTTCAGTATTACCGTCGCGAGAACACTGGGTTGCAAGAGATGGAGCACGAGCCACCCAAAGTCCGTAGAAGTTTGCCTTCTCCTCATATAGATATGTGTAACAATGTGATTTTTAGGACGCAGCTGCTCCTGCCGGAGTCGATGGACCTTTCGGTGGCTACTACCGCCGATGAAAGAACAGTGGTATGCAAGAGAGGGAGTCCAGCCCGCTCGAGGTGAGTCAGGACCATCCTTGTTCCCGTAAAAGCCCTCATCGACTCTATGTATGCGCACTTCTCACTGCAGGGAAAGCCAAAGTAAGAGGAATCTTCTTCGGAGTTCGAGGAAGCCTGGGTGCTGCAATACTGCAAGAGAGATGGTCTGGAGGAGAGCAGTTCTGGGTCCCTTGGATCGTAGATCCACGCGCGCTATATGATACTATCCACTGCTGTACTATGATTTCATGTTACATACTCGTGTTTGTAAATGTACCCATTATCTGCGTTGCACAAGCTATGATATTCATCGTCGCGATGATTCCAGGGCCGCTACCTTGTCCTACGACAGCGACTCGATGAAGAAAAGGCACTCTGGCCAGCAGAAAAGCCCAGATTTTCATTCAAGAGATATAATTCTGTCAATGGCTAAGCTGTGGGTCTCATTATTATCTGTCAATTAGATAAGAGAATAGACCCATGTAGATGTGCACCGCTAAGCGAGCGTTCCGAGGAGTCATTTCAAGATTAAAATCGCATCGCTACTCTTCTATCCTTGCACACAATTCATGGCTCGAGTCTTGTAGTACACTTTCAGAATTTCAGTAGTATCAGGTAGCCGGGAATCGTCAAAGAACGCGCGATAGCGTCAAAGACAATGAAAAGTTTTCGGAACCCGCGTTGTTCTGCGTGGGTGTGTCGCTGCAAGCCACGTGATCGCGTCTCAAACGTGCGTCCAGTCAGGTCCAGTCGGTCACCGTTCCTGTACTTTTCAGCGAATCCAACTAAGCAGGTATCGCAGAACCGGCAAATGGTATACCTTTAGGGGGTATGGTGCTGTACCAACGCGACGCTCATTTCTTTAAAGGTTCCTGACACCTACTGCAGACTGCCTCGATTACCAGGTGTGTCGCATGGTCCAGACGACATGAGTGCTACTTCGCAGTCCTCCGTTTCAGCGAGATTAACAGACTCCTCTAGGTCTTACTAGACGCGACATTCTCATCGCTGAGCTCCAACTGCAAAATGTGCAGCTTGGAAATCCAAACTCTCTTTCGAAATCCTAGCTGAAGATATCACTTACGTGTGTGTACCTGTAGATGATCCTCGCATCCTACGGCTGGATTCGCATCACATACGTCTTCTGCGAGCACCGGCTCACGGCTGTGCTTCAGTGGGCGGTGCTATGGAACCCGGCGTCGTCGTGGCTGAGAGCACCGAACCGCGCCGTTGGTCGTTTGTGTGGACCTACCATGGAGCTCTTTGAGGGGCCGAAAGTCACACTCAAGAAACCCAAATCAATCCGTGCCATGACCATGCATGCGCCCGTGCCTGCGGTTAAGGCGCTCTTGTCGCTTTTTAGCCAGCCTCTCTGGACGCCTGACGCATTAAGGTCAAACACATCTTCTCCGATCCTGATTATTTTTTCACCGACTTGATCCTCATCCCGTTTGAGACACTCGAACTCGATACTGACGCTACAACAGATTCGCCCACTGGAATGGCCTCCACACGGTCCGCATATCCTGTCAAGTCAAAGGCTGCGTTGACATTCTAAAGGTGATATCCACACCACCTCTGTCCTCCATCGCACTGTGGCTCGTACACAATGCGATATACGTCCGCCCGCGCTCTACAACCAAACGCCCGACGATCTTCCCGCTCTAACCAACCCACCCACCACGCGCATAACAGGTCCCCCGCACGGCTACGTGCACATTCTCGGGTACGCCAAAGGGAAGGACGTGAGAGCACCCAGCATCCACTCATCAATATTCAATCGTCGTATTATATAGGAGGCTACACTCATATCTACCATCTACCCTTCTTCATTCTTTCGGACTCATACTTTCTTCCTGGGCAGTTCAGAAGCACCGCGCACAGCTCCGCAGCCAAAACCGCGCCCCATCCTTTCCCGGGCCGGAGACGTACACTCCCCACCCCTCCAAACCATCATAGTCAAAAACGACACCGATACAAGCCGTCAGGCGACGCGAACACATTTGGGCTGCACATGGTGAACCAACTACTAGGGCTATAGCACCCCGCGAGCTCGGTGGATTGCAATTGCAATTGGTGTGGGTATAGTAGGATGGACTCGATTCGAGCATTTCCGCAGTCCTACTCGCGAGCAGTTAGCTATAGGTGGGCGAGCGATAAAGGCATCAAGTAGTTCACATATGAAAATAGGATACTACCATATTCCATGAGCATAATGGCCATACCGCGATCATGTTCGATATCACGCATTGAGTGAACAAGTCCGAACCGGCTACCTTGGATCATTGCTTGACACCACTTCCTAGCATCAAAATTCAATCTATCCAAGCGGCCAGTATATATCGCGCAAATAGGTAGCATCTGAATGTAAGCACAGGTAACAAGCAACGTAGATCACAACATCAGCAGAATCGCGAAACACAACAAAGATTGCCGATATCCGACGTGCAAAATCAACGAGCACGAAAGCACCGAGCATGAAAGCATCGAACACACCAAACCTTCCAATCCAATGCAACAGAACCAACTCAAGCAACCAACACCAAGCCTCACAGATGCACCCTCAAATCATCAACAACCCCACCCCAGCCACCACCGCACCCACCACCCCCACCTTCCCCGCACCCACAGCCCGCGCCCACACCGCACCCCCCGCCCCACTCTCCTTATCCACCGTATCCGCATCGTCGTCCGGCGCACCTGCATCCACCCAATCCCTCCACGCCGCATACATCTCAACAACAAACGCCTGCCCCTCGGGCGACGACCCGCCCTGCACGTTCCAGTTGTACGGGTCCACCACAGGCGCGAGCCACATTTCCGGCGAGAAGTGCAGTTGGCCGGTTCCGACGTACGCGTTCGGCGTCGAGGCGGCGTATGAGGAGGTTTTAATGGAGGTTGCGGAAGAGGAGGAGGACGATGACGAGATGCTGGAATGACTGTACGACGTCGTCTCCGCATAGAACGACGACGCAGACACGTTATACGACGCCCACGCCGCCGACGAGCCGCTCGCTCTCGCGCTCGCACCCACGCCCGTCGCAGAAGGGGTAAACGACGTCGCAGGCCCTACGCCATTCCCCGTTCCCCACGCCTCATACAACCCCTTCGTGCTCAACGCCTCGCGCGACCGCTCCGCATGCGCAGCATACGTGTCCACGCCCTCGAGCGCTGCGAACCGGTACACGGTCGACGCGAGCAGCGCTGTGCTCGACGCGTCGAGAAACGTGCTGGTGTTGTTCGCATAGTTGTGGAAGAGTGCCGTGTTCCAGTTCTGTGTGAAAAGTGAGTGAGAGGCGTGGCTGCGGAACGGAGGATGAAGAGCTCACGAAATGCTTGTACATCCCGTCGTGGATCTCCTCTATCCAGCTCTTGAGATCGTCCATCTCATCCTGCATGTCGTCCGCAAAGTCAGAGTGCTTGACCGTCGCCAGCACGCGCAGCATCCCCGCTGCCGCCCATCCATTTCCTGACACCCCTCATGAGCGCACGTCAGGAAATACACGACGGACATCACGCACCCGTTGACCAAAATCCGGGATCGTGGTTGTTGTCCCCAAGCACGATGTGCATCCACAAACTCGCGTCCTCGTCGTAGAGATATTGCCGGTACAACTTGATCTGCGTGCGCAAACTGGCTCTTAGCAGTGCAGGACGGGCACGGTGAATGGCGAGCAACCGTGGACGCTAGCGTACCTGAGTGTATGCTTCCTGTACTATGCTCTGGTTTCCGGTCATGACACCGTAGTACGCGAGGAAAGGAGGCACCATGTACATCGAGTCCGACCTGCGCATATGATATACCGACGCATATATTGAGCTGCGCACAACTCACCAGAGCTGGACCTGCTCGATCCTATGGCTTATTGCGCCATCGCTCGTCCGCGGGACGACCTCCAACGTATACTCCAGCTGGCCTTTCGCCGCCTCCGCATACGATACGCCCTTTCCAGACCCGTTCGTGCTCCCATTCCCACCACTCACAGGCACGTTCAGCGGCGGAGCGCGCGCATCGACCCGGTTCGCGAGCAGGACAGCGACACCGATGCTGGCCGGGTCGCCCGCCGCGCCGCCTTCAACGTAGATGAGCGGATGCGCGCCAGTCGCGTTGGTGCGATTCGCACACGTGTTGTACGCGATCTGGAGGACGGGCGCGAGCGCGGTGTAGTTGACGGCAGAGGTGGATGGCGGGAGGGACGCGTTCGCGAAGACGGAGAAATCCGGCGCGTCGTACTCGGTCAGTGCTTCTGCCTCGGTGCCGAGTTCCCAGCTGTTTTTAGACTATTCAGCGTCCGCGTGAGACGTTGCGGCTGCGAGGGATGGACGTACGTCTGCTGTGCACCGAGCCAGAGGTTGTCCATGACCGCGTCGAGCTGGGCGGACGTGAGGCTCTGCGCGAGGGCAGAAGCGGTGAGCACAAGCAGCGCAGCCATCATTGTAGTCGGGCGGGGCATCGTTGTGGCAGGCAAAGCATGGACGGGTGCAGCGGTTTACAACAAAGATATGCGAGCGAAAGCAGGGGAGGGTGCGCCATGGATGCTTGGCAGCGAGCTGGCTATTGGTCTCGTTCAGAACAGAGCCGTTGCAGGCGCCCGTCTTGGCCACAGTCGGTTGCGTCATGCCGCCTCCGCCCAGGTCACTCACGACCTATCCGCCATCTGCCTCCGCCAGGCACAGAGTGACGCTGAACGCTGCTCTTATCCCCGCGCATGTTCAATCGTGGGGTCGGGCATGTACATGCCGTCCAATATTGTAAGCGCTGATGTTGACTGGATGCTAAAACGCGCTGACAGACCGTCCATTCCATGAATATTCTGTACATGGACACCGCCTTCGAAGCCCAGACGGAGAACAGCATGGAAACTGAAGAACAGTACCTTTGGCCAGCAACGATGGGCACCACCCGACCAATACTCCTCCGGAGAATGGCAGATTGAGGCGAGGCTACCATCCGATGGCACAGGTCGCGCGTCGCAGGCTACGGTATGGCCAGCCAGCAGAAGTGTGAAGAGGAAGAGGCCGGCACTGGGATACGGCCAGAGTAACCCGCCCAACATCGTCAAAGCAGCGCGGCAGGTATGAGCGGCAGAGAGGGTGCAAGCAAGGGTCCTCTCGCTTGTGCTGCATCTTATATAATTTGACAGTGACAGCGGAGTGTGAAGCTTAGAAGCTTTGAAGGTTGATGCCGTACAGTCAACTCAATCACAAGCGGGCGTCACCCAATCGGGCAAGCAGTTTGCCTGATATGGTAGGTGCCAAACTCAAATAAAGCTGTCGTGTCGCTAATCTGGACAGTTGTGGCAGCTATTCGTGATCGGGTGAGCTTCGGTGTCCCTTCGCGGTGAGCGGCAGCGCTACTAGCGTAGGTAACTACACTCGATCGTCAATGAATCGAGACGAAAGGACAATCTTCAAATGCAACAACTAGTGATGTTCAGGGCCCGGCTCAGCCTGAAAGCCCGGGCTTGGGCTCAGCTTAGGAGGCTCGGGCTTGCCATAATCGAAAGCCAGGCCCCTGCTAGAGCTCGGGCTTCGCTCGGGCTTGTTGCAGAGCACCGTTCTTTCGATCACAATTCTGTTAACGATGTACATATATACATAGATAATCTACATGTCATCATCATTCAACCATGCCGAACTGTCTGTGAAGTTATTATCGAGCTCCTCGGAGTCTGTGTCCAGCTCTATGTCAAGCTCTGCTTCACAGATAGCAGGATTCTCGCTGCCTTCGCCCTCCCGATAGCTATTCAGTTCCTCCTCAGATGATGACGATGGCCCTAAGTCACGGTAAAGGAGATTCTTCTTATATGCACATTTGAGGATCTGCAAAGCCTCTACAATGTCACCTTTGAGACAGTTTCGATGCTTCGTGATGGTAATTCCAGCACTCGAGAATGCACGCTCGCTTGATACTGATGTTGCCATGATGGCAAGATAATCTTTTGTGAGTGAAGCCCACACCGGAAAGCAATGGGCATTTAACTAGAGAATAATAGATATTATAGATATGTGAAAAACAGGAGAATAGAGACACTCACTCCCCACCACTGAACCGTTGACATGCCGTCAGGCACATCCTCATTGAGATCAATATATTTCTGAAAATCATGCTCCCACTGCTTCTCTGGATCGAGAAGAGCTTGAGTTAATGATAGAGATGATCGTGCTTCATCATCATCGTCACTTGATAGATCCACGAGTGAAGACAGATAACGTTGTAGCGTTTTCATCTTCGAAACAGCCACCATCACACTCTCTGCACTGCTGTTGAGTTCCACATACCGATTCTTGTACTTATTGAAAAAGAATCAGTCGGTACATCAGCCATCAGTGTGAACAGCAAGATGTACTTACAATCTTCTTCATCAACTCCATAGCGTCCTTCTGCAGAGCTATTGACCAGCCTTCCTTGAAGAATCCAAAGTGCATTGTCAGATCAAGCACTGATGACGTTGATCAGAAATGAGGTAAAATATTTGTGTCAATGATGCATACATATACAGACTGATAGAGAAAACGTAAGCATCGTTATCACCTGTCTTGTCGTAGTATTCTGCGATCTTGGCAAGCCCAGCTTGCAGTCCATTTGTGAAGTGTGCATATGCAGGATCCTCTAGTTTGGCAGTCCATTGTGCATGCAAGTCTTTAAGGGCCGGTAGTGCAAGATGCAATGCTAGATCGTTCTCCGAAGAGAAGTGCTGTTGCCAAAAATCTGCAATCTACTCATTTGTTATGTTATAATATCGGTCACTTGATGCACGATGAATGTACCTGCAGAACGCGCTGAAAGCTTTTGACGTGTTTCCACTCATCATCTCTTGGCAAGAGGGCGTACAACTTCGTAGACGTCCTCATATCCTTTGCAGCTCTCAAGATCTCTGTCACAAACTTATTGACCTGCTAGGAACATCACTGAGCTCAGAGCAATGTAGCACATGAAATGACAAAGAATACTCACTGAATGCAGGCCATATGCTTGATTGAGCATCATGTATGTTGAGGACCAGCGAACCTTCATGTCGATTAGTAGAGTTTTGACATCCTTGATTTCAACACCAGTGGACACTTGAATGTCATGAAATCGCTCCTTATGTTGGCTTGATGAGTGTTCCTGCATGCATTTATTGATATTAATACTTCATCGTCTACTTCACACTTACCTTGACAGATATTGCTTGAATCAGTCTCACTTCATCGCGAATCAGAGCCGAGGTATCTGGTTGTCACAGTATTAAGTGGCACCTTTCTTTTTGCACCAATAAAGTCATCATTCGGCAACCACAAGTGGTTATTCAGATGCCAACCTTTATATTGGTCTCACAAAGTGGATACTTAGACAAACAGCACAATACCACCACATACATTGCGGATATGACTGTGTCTACCACATGACCACCAAGCATCCATGATTCAGCCACTCAGTCACGTGACACTGGCCACTTGCCCAGAATGGAACTCTTTGGCCCACAATAGGCTTACCTGTGCTCATTGGACCATTAAGCTAGCAAGCACCCAATTTGCTGCTCAATAGCAGCACCAACTACATGGCTGTCAAATAGTAGCACCTGCATTAGAATATGCGCTATGGCAGAACCTCCATTGGCCACTCAATAAGTGGCACCACTTCAGCTACTCAAATATTGGCACCACCTTCAGGCAACTATCTTATTGGGTAAAGTAGGATTACCTTGGCATATCCATGGCCTTTATAGATAGTTGCTATAGCAAAGTCCAGAACCATTACTGGTTTTGACAATATGTTCACATGTAGACAGGACAGGACCCCAGTAAGTACACCATAGTTAGGGTACCCAGGGTCTACCACTACATGTATATAAGCACATGAGGATCTAAGGGAAGACCTTAGATTCATTCACCTATTTCATGCGACCTAACAGCCAATTCACCCCCTTGTTGTGAGCATAAGGCTAAGGGCCCTTTGAGCCCCTTTTTTAGGCTGCATGTCACTGCATGCCTGGTTTGACCCTACCTGGGCAAACCCCTTTTTTTGTGCAGGTCACTGGATGCTGGCAAGCACCTTGCTGCCATTTCCTTGCCTTAGAGCACAGGATCTAATGCACCGTGACAATTACACTGAAGAACTCAAGGTCGTACTGATTAACACAACAGATTTCGTATTTTCAGTCAAGTCAGGAGACAGGATAGCCCAAATAATCTTTGAATATTACACTGAAGGGCTTCCCTCTCGAAGCTACCAACCGTTGCGAGCAACTAGAAGGGGAAACAAAGGTTTTGGCTCCTCGGGACAATGAGCCTTGAGAGGGGGGTAGTGTCACAGATTTTTGCCACAAAGTCTGCATGTGACTTTTCTCACACCACAGATCACGTGCTTCACCAAAATCTCATGCCACTCAGCCACAGATGTGACACGTAGAGATCAGGTGATAGCCTACATCACATGTTACGGTCCAGACCCGCAGATGATATGGTCAGACCTGTCTATTCCAGGATACAATAGAGGCACCCATTTGGTAACAAAGGGAACAAGGACTATTGTTACGCATCGGCCTTCCACTTCCTATTAGTTTAGCCAGAAGCCTAAATAAGCACAATGTTCACACCAGAGAACAAAAGGGAAACCAAGATGGGCACGATGTTTGCACACGTTGCTGCAGCAGCCATCAATCTTTCCACCTATTGTTCTACTTCCGGACATTCCATTGTTTCATGTACGGCCATTTGCTTATACCCGTAGATAGGTAGCTTAGGTAAGATAGCCCACTGTATATGTATATAAGACCAGCCATGTAGAGGATGAAACTTCAGATTGTTTCTCCTCGTCTACCATTGTAGCATCTACTGAGCCTACCAGCTCCTTCATATATCTCTCACCCTTTCCTGTGCTTGCTTCATCAACAAGTAAGTCTTAGGCTCTCGTGCCACATAAGGGTTCAGGGGGATCATAGGGATCAGGGGGATTAGGGTGGCACGTTCCATGGGACTGTCCCTTTTTAGTCTCTTTGCTCTCTTGTCCAGCGGTGCTGTGACAAGCTCTTGGAGCATGTATATGTTAACCTTATGACCCAATTTCCAGTGTTCTCACTAGGCAGTGTACACTACTTGATGATAATCAATGATGATGCATTGTCATTCACGACAGTCTATCCTCTGGTAAACAAGATTAAGAAAGACACTCTGCATTGTTTCCAGGTCTTCCACTGTGCAGCCGAGCATCAGACTGGTCAGAAGCTTTACAAGGTGCATTTTAACAATGGCACTGAGTTCATGAATGACATGTGAACTGCCTATCTGCAGCACCATGGGATCATTTCTAAGCCAACTATGCTGTACACCTCTCAGGAGAATGAAGTCAGTGAGCGGGAGCATTGTACACTCACTGATTATGCATGAGCTATGTTGTATGACTCTGATCTTCTGAATTACCTGTGGGCTAAAGCCTTTCATACGAGTGCATATCTCAAGTCACTTGTACCATCTGCATGTCAAGAAGGGCATACTCCTTATGAATGCTGGTATGGTCATCTACTCAATGTTGCTCACTTGCATGTCTTTGGCTTGAAGGCATGGGTGAAGGTCACTGATGATCTACACACAAAGCTAGACTCTAAGTCCCATCAATGTTAGCTTATTAGTTATACCGATGCATCTCACTGTATTGTCGACGATGTGGCTTTCGAGCATCCTCTGCCCCTGGTGGTTGCACCTGTGCCCTTGCCAGCCATGCCACAGCAGCCAGCACCCTCACCATCAACTTCACCATCCTTACCTCCAGTGCCTTCTGTGTTGCAGCAAAATGAACCTGTGCCACTGCGACAATTGAGCAGGACTCCAGTGGAGTTGTGCTTTGTGAGAATCTAGAGGCAGTTTAACATGAGGATAAGCTCGAGTGAAAGGGGAGTTCTGGGCTACCAATGCTCCTCTTCCTATAGCAGTGTATATCACCTTTTTCACAGCATCCGACACACTGGTTGACCCTGGTGAATTTGTCCATGAGGGGGCTGTGCCCTATTACATTCAAGCAGGCCATGGCTGCTGTCAATGTTTGACAGCCTGCAATGGAGATGGAGATGTCAGGCTTATGCAAGATTGGAGCATGGCAGCTGGTACCAAGGAAGGCCAACATGAATGTTGTTAGATGCAAGTGGATGTTTGCACAAGAATTCAACAAGGATGGCAGGTGAAAACTGAAGGCCCACCTCATCGTGAAAGGCTTCCATCAAATTGTGGGAGTGGACTATTTCGAGATGCATGCTTCCATCATGCACTTCAAATTCCTCTGAGTGGTTTGTGCACTGGTCATCTATCAGAAAATGGAGATGGGGCAGGACAATGTCGAGAAAGTGTACCTGAATGCTTCATTGTCTGAAGAGGTCTTCATGGAGCAAACCCTGGGCTATGAGAACTTGGACATCCTGACTGGGTGTGTGCATTGGACCATGTCCTCTATGATGTTATGCAGTCAGGAAATGAGTGGTGAAAGAACCTGGATTCCACTTATTCTGACCTCTCATGCAGACGAATGCATGCATGCTCAGATTGATGATGAAGGGCTCTCCATCACAGCCACCTACATGGGTGATGTGACATCTGTCTCCAATACTGCCTCAGGCCTTGCAGTTACTCGAGTGGACCTGGCCACACAATATAAGCTCAGTGAGGGTAAAGAGTTGAAATATATGAACAGTGTGGCTATCGAACATGATTGGATGAAAGGTACTCTACAACTCACCCAAGGAGCATATGTGCAGCATGTATTGGCATACTTCAACATGCAGGAGTTCAACCCAGTGTCTATGCCTTTGGAACCAGAGATGAAACTCACTAAGGCACCTACACAGGTGATGCCAGATGAAGCTTTTGAAATGGTGACCATACCCTACCATGAGTACCATGAGGTGCTTGATGCTATCATGTACTTGTTGGTTGCCAGTCAGCCAGACCTGGCTTATCCTGTGCAGCTGTTGAGTTATTATATGGTGAACCCAGGGATTGCTCACTGGCATGCACTGAAGTGCATCCTCTGTTACATCAAGGGAATGATTGATTATGACATTATTTACTACAGTGCTGCCCATGCACATTTCACCATCAAACTGATGATTTATTCTGACTCATCTTACTCTGACTGTGCAGACACAGGACGTTCAACTCAGAGGCATGTCATGTTGATGGCTGGTGATACAGTTACATAAAGCTCATGGTGCCAGGATGTGGTCATGTCACAGTATTAAGTGGCACCTTTCTTTTTGCACCATTAAAGTCCTCATTTGAGTGGTTATTCGGATGCCAACCTTCATATTGGTCTCGCAACGTGGATACTTGGACAAACAGCACAATGCCACCACATACATCACGAACATGACTGTGTCTACCACATGACCACCAAGCGCCCATGATTCAGCCACTCAGTCACGTGACACTGGCCACTTGCCCTATTCAGAAGTTATCAGGCATTGGTCACATGACACCAGGCCACTTGCCCAGAAAGGAACCCATTGGACCATCAAGCTAGCAAGCACCCAATTCGCCACTCAAGATAGTGGCACCACTTTGCTGCCTAAACCAATAGGCAGATACCACAACAGAGGATCCCCCTACCAACTGGCATACAGTATAGCCAGGTACAGGATAGGCTAGATCTTCTCACAACCCTATCCAGATGAAGACTGATCGTCACACTCATTGTTCTGAGTTTGGACAGATCCTCTCATCTGATGTTGCAACCGTTGTGATGTGCTCTGTTGGCCATCACC